CCAATGACCGGAATATCAATAATGATATTGAGGGGGTTAGAGTAATAGTTGTGATGGGCCAGCCTGATAATGAGTAATGGCTTCAGTCGCCAACCATGTTTTTCCCTGTGATGCTCCGCATTCGACCGGGTCCCTTATCGTCGCCCCCTGATTGGTCCTGGGCCGCCGTCCATGACAAACGCCGCTGACTGGATTCGGCCCGAATCGTCATCGCTCGCCTGGAGTGCCTCAGGTTGACGACAGTCGAACATACCTGGAACAATAGCTTGGAGAAAGTCCTCCTATAGTATGGAGTCATCGTCAGAACCAGTCGATCAGCCAAGACCTCTGCGAGTCACATTTGTTCGGCTTGGCGAGGGGTTTTGTGGTCGATTGACAGTCGATTCATGGCCACATGTCATTGAATCGACAAGGAACGGAGCAAAGGGAGCAAAAATGAGAAGAAAGGGATAGGAATAATGAAAATCATTCCGCTACAAATTTTATTTTCATTGATCTTGTTCTGGATGTCTTGTAATGAAGAATTCCAATGAAATTTTTAATGCCTCATACCTCGTCCACGCATGCAGAGGAATCCTCATGCATATTTTCTTGAAACCCTCGATGGATCACTTTTTTTAATGAGGTATCCAGTCCAGCTGGGTAATTCGCGCAGCTGATCATGCTCATTTCTTCTTCTATTTTTTTTTTTTTTTTTTTTTTTTTTTTTTTTTTTTTTTTTTTTTTTTTTTTTTTTTTTTTTTTTTTTTTTTTTTCATTTTTGGGGCTTTCTTCTGTCGATTCCTCTTCTTTTGGACATCGAGGGGAATCTTTTTGGGATCCCACGAAGTAAAGAAGATCTCTGACAGGTCATTCTCATACTGGTTATTCCCTCATGGTTTAGATAATGGAAAACCACCAAACGGTCTCCTTGCAGTGGCTGTTCATGCACTGGGATGTACAATTAAATCCCTCAGCCCTGGTATAAGGCAGCCAGGCATTACACTAGCCGCCTCCACCGCCATTTCCATCTGGGTCGGAACTTTATTTCTTGGTAGCAACAACATTCATTCTGCATCTCGCATGCCTGGGCATATGTATGTATGGAAACGTGTAAACCTACAGATCCCCATCCCACCGGATCTTCTTTCCTTTTTCTTCCCACTTTCACCGATTGCTGCCCGTTGGGTTGTCATGCTCCACGTTCGATTATTTCTTCGCCAACTGCGCGTGGACAGGTAATACTAGCAACGGATGATTCTGATCTCGTGAGGGAAACTGCTTTCAACATGGTAATCGTAGTTCCCAGAGAGCCCCCATGGCGGAGCTCTGTGGGCGGATAGATGGGGGGATAGAGTCTATGCAGGTACAGCATCGATTGCTGGGCTAGCTCCGGACAGGAAGCTGGGTCCCCGCCCTCGTCTGCAGAGCCTCAGATGAAGATCTGGTCAAGCCTCAACTGATCCGCTGGAGGCAGGGCTGGTCGACACAACCCTCTCCACTCGGCGGCAGCGGTAGCCGCGGCTACCCAGCCAATCCGGGATATGTGACAGGTATTGTCAACGGCCCTTTCGCTGCTGCATCCATCGTAGGATCCATTCCACGAGTGTCCCAAGGTCTTGAGATATTTCCAGCACCCGGGCTATCTTGCTTTGTAGTTCACTCACTTCGTTCTTCTGTTCATCGGTCATTTGCACGTCCATATCCCCAAGACCGCTAGAGTGGTCCAACAATCCTGTCATGTCTACAACCGAAACGCGGCCGTTCAATCCAACTTCCAAACTAACGGAAACCTTGCTTATAGTAGTTTCTTCCTTGGCCGATTCTGCAGAATCGGTTGGATCGTTTACCGTGAAAAGTAGCATAACGACGGGCGCTTGACCAAGCTGTGTCCGCAATGTAACGTCTACTTTAACCTCATCGGCATTATCGTCGCCACCGTTAGCGTTCGACTTGAATGTGTCTTTCCCTTTGTCCTTCATGGTCCTGTCCGTATTATTGAATCCCTTGAGCAACCGATCGAGCTTTTTCTCGTTGGGATCGTTGTTGCTCAAGATAATCACATCTTTCTTTGGCTTCCCTGGTTCCGTGAATTTCAGCTGACTAACCAAGTTCTTTGAAGAGTCTGTTTGGGCATCCTTTCTGTTCTCATCGTTCTTGGACGGAGGACTGAAAATGTTACGGATCATGTTTGCTAAAAGCGCATATTGGCGTAGTGTCTGTCAGGGGGAAATAAAGATTATCAGTAACTTCTCTCATGAGTAGTTTTGCTATTGAACTCACCGGAAGAATATCTGCAAGCTGCCGCGGGTGCGCAAAGGGGATGTCACGCATCGTACGCCCAGCAACAGATTCAAAGGGTTGGAAAGTGTAGCTATGCTGTTTAGTACATGGTTTTCCATCCTGGTCAACGGTCTGCACGGCCATCTTGCGCCTTCTGCGACCAAGTTGGGATGCTTCCTCAGGCCCCAGGCCCATAGCTCCCGCCGCTGATAATGGTGACCATCCCGGTGCTAAGAGTCCATCGTAGGTTACCATCTTAAACTCTTGTGGCATCTGAATGCCCAGGTGTCTGTATATGTCCGAAGCTGCCAAGATTGGCAGTTCAAGGGGCGGTTCCATTCTCGCAACAAACCGCCGATTGGGTGCGGCACCTAGCATGCCCGAATCGAGCGCCATTGCATCTTGCTGATCTTGGGAAGGAAGAGTCGCTGGTGGGTCTGCCCAGTTAACAACAGTAACATCAGACCCTCCTATCTCGTTCGACGACGACGGTTCGTTCGTATTGTTGTTCATGACTGTAAAGACCTCGGAATTCACCCACTCTTTGGACACACGGAGCGACGGATATCCTTCTTCACACTCTATTATGATGTTCCATTTACCGTTATGGTTCCCTGATTCGCCGTCCATCGACGATTCGGACGGCTGATCTATAGCCATGTCATCAGGGGAAGCCTTCTTTTGCTTGGCGTCTAGGACGCGTGCTTGATGTACCCAGTACTCTAAGTTGAGGCCAATACGGCCTCCCTGATGCAGACACGGCTTGCCAACCCAACCACTGCAGAGGTGATCGTTGATACCAGAAAACTTGCGGTGATCTCCTTCCTCATCCCAAATGCGCTTCAAGCTTTCGTAAAGACCTTCTATGGCCTCAAAACAGTTGACTTCTTGGCTGAGTCTATCATGCTTCGCCAGCCACTGTAGATTCTCATGGAACTTAGTCAAAGTTTTCCAAGAGCTCCGTCCTCTATCTTCAGGCGATTCTATCAAGTCACGCTTTAGGACAGCCGTAGCTTCCCGACGTTCACCGTCCGTGGCTTCTGGCGTTGCGATATTCAGGCTGACATCCTTCACCGTATTCTGCGCACGGTAGAACTCAATCTCAAGATCAACAAAATTTCCCGCAATACTGAGGCTATCCTCCTGCCAAATCGACTCAAAGCCTTCGAGCTGGCCCAGTCGCTCAATGCCTTCCCTGCACACCCCTCTGCCCGCGACTCGTGTCCGTAGAACCTGCACCACGTCCTCAATGTGTCTCCTCCGCTCTTCGTCGCTGTCGCGCGCGCTTCCGAGTTTCAGGCCTTGCATACCGAGTGCCTGAATGTCGCTGTCATGCATACCGGGTGCTACTAAAGCGTCATGGACTGCGGGTGACGGGCTAATCCCGCCATAGCCACCAAGTGCAAGAAGCGCCGACGGGGAGCTGAGAGTGACGGGATCGTCAGCCCCAGCGGTTGCGGCCAGAGGCGTGGCATTTTGATGCGTCGAAGTCAGTTGATGGTTGGAAGCTGATGGGGTTCTCGTTGAAGGTGATTTGTGCGATATAGGCCGAGCCATAGGTCCAGAGGGGCGGGGAGAAGAAGTCAGATGGGTCGGCGTTGCGCCGGGATTTTGCTTGGAAGACGGAGTCGCCATGGTAGCTGCTCAAAACAATGGATTCAAAATGTAACCAGATAAATAATTAGACAAAGTGCGGGGTATCACGCATGAAACGATAGCAGCAGTTCGATTCGGACCTCTTCTCAATACTGCACCGCTGCGCAGCCCATTATCTTCTTCTATCCGACGGGCTCACCGGGCAACACCATGCAATTGTGAAAACTCACTAGACTATTTAAAGCATCGCCAAAGCATGAGCGTAGAGATTGAAAATTGAAAAGGCCAAAAAAAAAGCGAAAGGACTGTTTATCAACCAAAACACCACCCAACTCTATGGATTTCCGGTGAAGGAACTATTTGATGCGGAGTGACTTGCGGCCAGAACGCGGAGTCACATGAGTTTGTTGTGTTTGCTTCCGTCGTCATAGGTAAACCCAGTATCAAAGCTCAATTCTTACCTCCAACTTGTTTAACGACATACTCAATTGAACTCGTTCAATATGTTTGCCTTTAGGAATTTTGCCCGTAATACTCCTAGTCTGTCAAGATGGTCACAAATCCGGGGCGTCTCGACACTAGAAGGGCATCCCCACATTGTATGCCTCCAATGGAGTTCATCCTTGCGATGATTGGCACTGACGATTATCTAGTATGTTTTCCCATCTAATGGAAACCACATCTTGTCATTGTTGCCGTCAGAACCTCCAAACTCTAAATTGTCTATTGGCGTCACCTCCAAATTGCCCCCTACAACGGACTCCTTTAAGGAGAACCCAGAATTCCTGAAGATCGTACAGGATGTGGTCTCCGAGTATGGCCATCAGGACCCCGACGCTGTCGCCCAAGCCCAGGTGATGGCGTCTACATCCGGCGCTAACCTGGGCTCTGGTGGTGTCCTGTTGACGGGTGGACGTGCCAAAAGACGGCACAGTGCAGCGGATTCCAGCGGTGGAGCGAGCGGCCAAGGTGGTGCTGGATCTGCCGGGCGAGGAGGCTGGATACATCTTTCTGACAACCGACGGCCGCCCGAATATGGCCGGATCGCATGGCCCGAAGATATCTTTGGAAGTCTTGAGGTCGATTGTAGCGGTAATTTCGTGGGAAGCAACGGAAATTATCAGCCAAGCGGTACGGTGTTCCTGTACAGAACGTTCCAGTGAGAGTAGCTGACTTCAATAGGTACTTATCGGATCGTAACTCGGGACGGAATGTAGGTCACAGTTCCTTTAAATGGCACCGAATAGTACTAACAAGAAATCTAGTTTTGGTTTGAGTCCATTCCTTAGGGAAAAGTTGGTACAGAGGCTGCGCCAGCAGGAGAGTCAATAGCGGATGCATTGAGAATCCATGTACATTATTCAACTGTATTTTACTTGACTTGATGAAAGCTATGGTTAAACTGCAGGCCAGTTTGGCTCGAATCGCATCTCATATCGCATCACGACGACTTAGCATTTGAGGACACAGTCCGAATAGCACACCATGCTATTCGGTAATACAGAACAACTTTAGGTTGAGAAAAATTTTGTGATTGGCTGGGATCCATCAGCTTTCTTCGCATTTACCTTTTTCGTGGGCTTTTCATTATGAGTGGCACTTCGCATCTTCTTTCCGACAGGGGTGGTCTGTTGCTTCGATGCTAGGTTATGCTCTGAGGCCATCTTTGACGAAGGAGTGAGCGACTCTGTCTTTGGCCTCTTCATCCCCTCATCTGCTACCTCTTCAGGTCCCTCGGGGGTGCGTTCTCTCTTAGTGCCTGCTGCTGGTTTGGGCGCATTGTCCTCACTCCATCCACTTTCCCTCATTGGACGCGGATCGTCTTCGTTCTCGACTATATTTTGATCCGCAATGCCATCACCTTCGACTTTGACACCCGGCTCGGTCTTTTTCTTTGCATTTGCAAAAAAGTTCGCAATGTTACTCTTGTTTTCCTTACTACTTACCGGCACAATGAAGTCAGGAGAGTTGTTTCCAACCTTGCCAACCTCCTTGGGAACTGGATAGCATTCCAACTCGCCCTCGTATGGCTTCAGCACAGACTGCAGTTCCTTCGACCACGTCGTCCGATTCGGATCCAGCCAAATCTTCATCGCCTCACTATTTGGCTCCAGAATGACCGGCATGCGATCATGAAGGAACTTCAGATAAGCGTTCGAGGACGTCGTAATAACCGTATACGTGTAGAGCTGTTCATCCTCCCCTTCCATAGTAAATTAGCAAATAACCAACCCCAATAAACGTTTACAAACTCACCTTTATAAGAAACACAATCCCACAACCCCGCAAAGAGCATCAACTCCCCATCCTTCCTCTTCACAAAATGCGGCACCCTCTCCTTCCCCCCAGGCCCCTTCTTCAACCACTCATAGAAACCCTGACAGACGACTACACATCTCTTCCTCCGCTTCATGGACGTCCACATCCCGCGATCCTCGGCCAGCGAGTCACTCCGACAATTAATCGTCCGCATCATCGACCCGTAATCCGGTTTCCGCTTCGTCCAGAACGGGACCAGTCCCCACTTCATGCTCTGGATTTTGTATTTGAGCTGGGGGTGCGTCTGTTCGTCTTTCTCGGCTGCCTTGTTCTGGGCCGGTGATGTAGTGTCGTCGTCCTCAGGTTGTTCCTCGTTGTGTCCGGAGGGATATATATCCGCGCGATATACGGCGCCAAAGTTTCCCGGGGCGAAGTTGTATGTTTCTCGGACGTCATCGTCGGAGGGTGCTTCATCGACCTGGAGGCCTTGTTCTTCGAGGCGGCGACGCATGAAGGCCATGCGCTGTTCTGTTTGTCAGATGCCTAGTACTCTGGCTACAGAACGCGAGTAGGTAGAGGGACGTAACATACCACGCCGAGGGCATATCTACCACACATTTTTAGACCATTAAACGAACAATGAGAAGTAAAAGTAGTATTCCACTTAAGAATAAAAATTCGTCGCTAGCTACAAGCGTTATCCAGGCAGAGATAGAAGAAGGGTACCTAGAATAATGAAACTGATAAAGGGCGACGTCATACTGCGACGGGAGCTCCGACCAATTAATTGGGGCCGGAACATCGATAGAATTTAATTCTTTTTCCGCGATTGAATTCTTACTCCTACACTCGACTCTTCATACTCACTCACCCACCTACTTACACCAACAAATTCAAACCTATTCCCCCAATCAAACAACGTACCACCAACCCCTCAATGCCGAAATAACCACACCCAAAGAAAAAGAAAACCAGAACTCAAGATGTTCCCAGCAACAACCCGCCGTCTCCCCAGAACCCTCACGTCAACGCTGACCCGCCGCCTCTCAACACTCCCCAAGACGCCCCGTGCAAGCCTCCAAAACCACCTGCAACCCTTCCAACCTTCACAAAAGAGATCCCTCTCCACGCTCCAAAAATGGACCCTCGGCCTCAAACAAGCCAAACGTGACATTTGGCGCAAGAACCCCATCCTGCTCCCGCTTGCGCTCTTCTCCGCCGCCGCCGCCACCGCCATATTCACCTACATCGCCTACGTCGAGTATACGCGCGTCGGGCCGCAGTACCACAAGTTCCCGCCGCCGGTGGCGGAGGCGCTCCGCACGGCGGTGTACTACACGGAGGTGGATCTGAGCCCGCCGAAGGCGCTGCAGGCGTACAAGGAGGCGCTGCGGATTGGGATTGAGATGGGGATGCATCCGTTTTCGGACGAGGTGGTTGGGATCAAGATCCAGGTTGCGATGATGCTGGAGCGGGCCGGGTTGGCGAAGGCGTCCGTGGAGGTGTTGGAGCGGACGAAGGGGGAGATTATGGGGTTTGTGGAGGGGAAGGATCGCGGGGAGGGGGTGATTGGGGTGAAGGTTGAGAAGGAGGATGGGGAGGAGAAGAGGAAGGAGATGGAGGAGTTTGAAAAGCAGCAGCGGGATCGCGTGCTCAAGAAGGCTGTGGGGATTGAGATGAAGCTTGCGGAGCTGTACTCGAGCGATTATATCCAGGATGAGAAGAAGGCGGAGGAGGCGCAGGTTGCGGCGGTGGAGTTGTGTTTGAAGGAGTTGCATCGGCGCCAGAGTCTGGGCCTCCCTGTTGGTGGCGGGCTAGAGGCGGATAACACTGAGGGGTGGTTGAATGTCACGGAGATCGCGACGGCGTTGACGGATCTGGCGGGTCGGTATACGGCGCAGGAGAATTATGAGCTTTCTATTCCGCTGCAGATGCGGGCGCTGGATCTGCTCCATACCGAGGAAGGGGATGCGCCGACGTGTAAGCAGGTTGTGCTGCTGAATAGTGTTGCTGGGTGCATGGCTGGACAGGCGCAGAAGCCCATTCGGGCTGAGGACCCCAAGAAGGCCAGGGAGCAGCTATTTGATGCTGCTCAGAAGTGGGCGCAGAAGGCGATTGACGTTGCGGCGAAGATTCAGCCTCCGGTTCGGGATGAGGAGTGTGATACTTCTTGCGTGGCGGCGACCTTTAACCTGGGTTGGCTGGCGGAGTTCCAGGGTAAGGCGAAGGAGGCCGAGAGGCTCTACGGAGAAGCCAAGTCGCTGTCGCAGGGTCTGGGCTTTGAACAGGGCGTTTCTATGGCCGATGCTGCCCTGAAGAGGCTCACGAAGAACTAAATCAGCGGAGACCTCTGTACCATAGACCACATGTACAATATGATATAGCAAGTGTATGGATAGATGAGTAGACAGGACGGGCAGTCTCTTCTACTTGTACGGATACGGCAGTGACATAGATATAGTACGATCACCTTACCCTAGTGGATCAGCCCCAGCAGTGCGTTTTAAGGTATTTTTTGTCTTTGTATTAGAACATGGCATGTCTTCCTTTACAAGATCCCAGACAGTCGGATTTTATGAATCGAGTAAGCTAGACATGTTTAGAAAAACCTCGGGTCCGGTTAAGGAACACCGAAGTGCTTCATTGCTCGTGGCTCATACATCCCAACCAATGCCTGCCCTTTTTTGTTAAGGAAAAATAAAAAACAAAATAGTTATCTTCCTCTCATGTCCCTCACCGATGGGTATTCATCATTTATGCCCTCGACATGACACCCCAGGCACGGATCTTGTTGTCAGTGTAACCAGCGAAGAGAGTCTGGCCGTCAGCGCTCCAGGCCAAGCTGACACACTCGGGCTCGCGGCTCTTCTTGCCCTTCTCGATGTACTCGGGCTTGAGCTCATCAACTTTGCTCTTCTTCTCGAGGTCGAAGATGGTGATGCTGCTGGCGGTGGCAGCGCAGAGCCAGTAGCGGTTGGGGGAGAAGACGAGAGCGTGGATCTCATCGCCGGCGTGGAGGGAGTAGAGGTGCTTGGACTCGTTGAGATCCCAGAGCATGGTGGTACCGTCCTTGCCACCGGAGGCGCAGAGGGAGCCATCGGGGGAGATGGTGACGGTGTTGATGTAGCCGGAGTGACCGATGTGGTCGGTCTGGAGGCGGCAGGAGGCGAGCTCCCAAACCTAGTAACACAGTTCAGATTAGCTGTGAACACACTTTTCCACGTGCAGATGCAGAGATATAGCATTCAAGTGTTGGTCGTTCATCAGGGTATAGGTGATTGTTGGTCTCATGGCCATAAGGCTCTGAAGTAGCAAATACGTTTTATACAGAAACATCATTTGAACCGATCGAATTCGGTAAAGGGTAGAAGGAAACTGCCAGATGCGTACCTTGACGAGCTTGTCCCAGCCAGCGGAGACGATGACAGGGTTCTGGGGGTTGGGGCTGAAGCGGACGCAGGAGACCCAGTCGGTGTGGCCCTTGTCGGTGATGGTGAACTTGCAGTCACCGAGGGTGTTCCAGAGCTTGATGCTGCGGTCACGGGAAGCGGAGACAATCTGGCGGTTGTCGGCGGAGAAGGAGACGGAGAGGACGTCGTTGGTGTGGCCAACGAAGGTACGGGTGGTCTCGCCGGTAGCGAGCTCCCAGAGGCGGAGAGACTTGTCCCAAGAGGCGGACAGAGCGTAGGCACCGTCGGAGGAGATCACCTATTGAGTTCGCAAAATCCACTTGTCAGCCGAACTTCCTTTCGCACTAAGTTCCCCGCGATATCCACGGTCTTCGCAAGGGTTCGGTATGCATACACAGTCAGAGACGATGTGAGAGTGACCCTCGAGGCTGCGCTTGGGGTAACCGTAGGCCTGCTCGTCGCGGGTAAGGTTCCAGATGATCAGGGTCTTGTCGCGACTGCCAGAGAGCAGCATGTTGGGGCTAGAGTCGGAGAAAGAATCAAGTCAGAAACCATTTTATCCAAAATCAATCAACCAATGCCATTTCTTGAATTTCTTCATCGCTGAAGATCTTCACACATCTTTCTTTTATGGCTTCAAATTTTTTCTTTCTTGTCTTTGATATCGGATCCGGAATTCCCTTACTTCTCCAAAGAGGTAGCCAGGGAAGTAACCCAGCCATTGTGACCCTCGAGGGTACCGCGAAGGACCAGCTGCTCAGCCATGATGACGATGGTAGGGGACCGCGAGAGGGAGAGAGGATGAACGCGGGCGGAGCAATTGTCGTTGACTCTGAGGTAAAATCCCAGCGTTCGAAGATGGAGGAGCAGAGTCGGCGTGCCCGCCTAAGCCCTAACTGCCTTACCGCCCTCTGTGTGCGAGGTCACATGGAACCCTAACATAAGCGAGTCACGTGTTGACGGTTGGTTTTCTTGGTTTCTGGTTCCGATTAGAGTGGATCCTCGAACAATATAATGCCATTCGCTGTCGGGATCTTCAAGAGATGGAGCTTCTATATTGCCTCATTGGTCATGTACTCTACACCTCTATACATCTCGTCATGAGCTATTTGTCAATCGCTGACAACGCACTGCCTTCGTGATACACTTACAACAATACAATACAGTCTGGTGGATCTATCCACTCAATACTCATTGACCAGTAGTAGAACTCTTGTCAATGACAGCTGAGGGCGTGAAGCATCTATCCCAAACAGGCACTGTAGCTCGACGAAAGGCTGTGGCTAAATGTACATCAGGGTTGTACAGACATACCCATCGCATACTAAACGGATACTGGCTATCGTGTATCTATCAATCAGTTATCTATTATACTTTACAGCCTGTCTGTACAGTACATGCGCCAGATACATACCTCACTCCAACAACACATTTACAGAGCCCTACGAGAAACAAGATAACGAAAGGAATCCAACCCAGAAAATGCATAAATTCCCTACACAAACTAACCATATAGTACAAGCCCAACCCAGCATGCTTTTATACAAACTTCTTTCTATACAGGACGCAAATCACCATCACGAATCAAACACCTGAACATTCGGCATGCGGCCAAGTCCCGCACCACCCGTCTTCTTACTCTTCGCAGCATGGAACCCAGTAGCACTGTTATCCTGGACATGCTGTCTGAGCAGGCGCAAGACCTCCGACTCAGCCCAGCGAGACGGCACGGGCCGGTAAGCAGCCTTGTAGGCACCGACCGTCTGGGCCCATTCGCCGCTCTTAGCCCCAGTGCGCTTCCAGGTCTCGGTGGGGGTATCCTCAGCGACATTGCCTTCGGTGGGAGGATCCTGCGTGGCCCAGTAGTAGATATCCCAGTCATTCTCGTCGAGGAACCGGTCGTACTCCTGGAGCTCCTCCTTGTTCATCTTGGAAAGATAAACATCGGCAAAGGTAGAAAGCAACAAATCGGACTCGAGGATTCCTCGCTTCCGGCTCTGGTCTGTTCCATTCACCCATATCAGTCCCCGGCAATGAATTAGTAATAATAGAGAAAGGGTATACTCACATAACAACCGGGCCCGTATAGTAGAAACATCCTCCCCAGTCCGCTTCAGCGGCTCCACCTTAAATGTAATACCCTCCATCTCACCCACACCCAGCTCTGGCTTCTGCGCGCCCGTCTCCTGGCGGCCACCCGTGAAATGCTCAACCTTTCCGGGGTAGGCAGGGCGGCTGTTATCGTCTTTGGGACGAATTGCCGAGCTGCCGAAGGAGCGACGGACGAGAGTTGTTCTGGGGAAGAATTGCGACGTTGAGGGTCGCGCGAAGCGCTGGATGAGTCTTGGGGCAGACATGGTGGCTCTGCTGGTGTGTTTATTGCAGGAGAGCTGTGTAGGAGGGAATTGTCGCTGGGGAGGATCGGAATTGTTTCTTCGTTTGTCATGACGGGATTGACATCATCCGGAGATTGGGGAGGGTTTGTTTGTTGTGTTTGCATGCTCTAAACACAGCCAACCGGGGTTGTGCATTACAAAGATTATATTGAATCGCAGAAAGGCGGCTATGCACATGGTACATATGTACAATATGTACTGATGACTTGGTCTTTTGAAGTCGGAGTACTCCATTACATCATCCCCAGTTGTCTAACGCTATCATAGGATCATAAAAGTATTCAAACAGTATACCGTGAGATATATCCGAGACTACATAAAGTCGAGACCACACTCGACAGATGCATAGAACTCCGTATTTTGTCATGAGAACAAGGAAACTACAACGCAAAGTGCCATTCCGCTCAGTCCAGGCACTTCGAAACAGGGACCGTCTAGATAAGATGCTTGGATCTGCAAGTGGTCGAAGCCGTCAGTCAAGTTGTAACCATCTGCAACCAGAAATACATACCTGAAGTAAGCCCGCAGATAAATGACCTGCCAAACACCCAATCCAATCAACATTCCCATTGTGCCAAACGCAAACCATTTCACACGCTCGTTGGTGCTCTCGTTGGTGTCGCGCAGCTTCTGTTCACGCGCACGCAGGTATTCCATTTCGCTGACGATTTCTTGCACCATCTCCTCGATGCGACGGAGATCAGTTTCGAGGGGCTTAAGCTTCTCATGGTCCTGGATGCTAGACCAGTCACGAGCATCGGCGCCAATGTCGACATCGAGTTCAATCGACCGATAGGGGTTCGCAACACCGGCTGCTCAAAAAAATCAGAAAAGCAATCCAACAATCTAATGCTATCGACAAGATAAGGGCGAAAAGAATGATGACCAAAGGCAAGGGCAGGGTAGATAACATACACCGTCCTTCAAGCTTGTTCTCGAAGCAGACATCGAAAGCAGTATCCTCCGAAGAAGTGAATGTCTGGCGAGTCTCGCCTACAACATCCCTCGGGCGACCGTGGTCATTGCCCAGGGCATCTTTGATCTAGATCCCGGAAAGACGATTAGCGAATCCGCTCCGATTCAATCCAGCCCGACCAACACTAGTCCGGTGAAGCGGATTTCACGATTCACCGCAAATCACCATTGACCGAAAATAGGGGCATAATGCAACATACATGCATGTTGACCTTCTGTCCATCACCCTTCTGACCGCTCACAATAGCTGTGACGACGACAAGCTGATCCTTGAAGACGAAGTTGCGGATGCATCGCTCGTTCTTTCCGCTCACGGCGGGCAGGTCGAATTTCAACGCGGCGGAAATCTGGACAAGACACAGGAATAAGATCCCGAGGATAGACTTCATGGTAGGTTGTGACGTCCCCATTGTCGAAACTAGATTGTCGCTGTGGTCGACAGTGAGGTCTTGGAAATTGACAACAAAGCTCGGGAGCTGCCATTGATGCCACGCCGCGCTCAAGGGTTCCGGAGCTGTCGGGAGAACAATGTTCCGCTATCAATCAACCGCACGCTTTAAAGAACAGATATTGATCTCCCCGTAGTATGGTTATCTTAAAAAATACTTGAGTCATTTGAATACGTCTACAATTGTTGTAAGGCCTTGGAAATGTTGAAATAAGATTAAGGAAATTAGTCATTGTGTGGCTAGCAGCTTCTTGATATCATGTACGGTCCGCCATTTAGCTTATGGTAGTAAACGCATAACACGGCTTCCCAGGGGAATAGGTTGCAACAAAGAAGAAAGAAAAGAAAAGAAAACAATGTCCCGATCTTAGAAAATTGAAGGCAGGATATCATTCGTTCCAAATCCCATAAAGTCGAACACGACGGGAGTACAAATTCAACAGGACAAAGTGGTATATGGATAAGGAGAAGGCCAACAATTGTTGTACCAAATCAACGATGGGAATAAGGAAAATATATGGAAGGGAACTCGTTCACCCATGGCCCAGATATCAAGGCTGTGGGGTTTTGACCCGTAGACCAAGGTAGTATGGAAAGAGAAAACCTGAATCAAACGACAGGATGGATCGTCACATGGCTTAAAACGCTCCTAATGAAAAAGAGAAGATGAAGGCAAGGGCATTTTTAACGAACACGTGGGCTAATTGACTTGGGAACGGAGATAAGGAAATGAGAGAGTGAGGGAAGTAGACAAGGCATTAAATAGCTTTACAAAATGGCACTAGACCTCGAGTTTCTTCCGGCGCCCGAAAAGGCGAGAGAGGCTATTCACACCAGATTCTCTACCCTTCGAAGCCAGTGATGAGGACACTCGAGGTGCAGGAGGCTCAGGAGGTCCCGTCGACCTGAGGAATTCAGCCAGGGCACTAGTCTCTGTTTGCCGGTCTGTGACGGAGGGAAGGCCGCTAGTTCCATACATTGCGCCTCTGCTCCTCTCGGCGCCAACTTTAGCTGAATAGTTAGATTGCGCTGTAGCATAGCTGTCCTGCTGTTGATGGAAAGAAGCCTTTGATAGTTTCGTAGTTGGCACCTTGTCCCCCGATGCATTGCGAAGAAGTCGCGCCTTCATTCCAAACGCACCGGATGAACTCTTGGAGGGCATTGTGTTGACCGGGAGAGGCTGTGGGATGGGCTCCGACTCCGGAGGAGGAACGTTGCGCAAGAAATCTAACAAGCTTTCCTCCTCGCGCTTGGGCTTCGGGCCGTCCAGGAGCTCGTCCAGGTCCTCATCGTCATCTGAGTCAATGGCATAGGGATCTGGTACCCTACGTTGTTTCCGCACAGGACGAGGGTCGTCCACTGGAGTTGTTTGGATGTGCTGAGCAGCAGTTGGGTGCACGGTAGTTCGGTTGCCCGTCTCCAGTAGCCCTGTGCGAGACCCGACGGAAGTCAACATTGATCCGTCTTGCGTGCTAGATACCGAGGGCGCATTGTTTTCGGAGTGGCCAGTTTCCAGCGAGTTCAGCTCGTCTGAATCCATAGTGTCTCGGAACGGTGCAACCGCACGGGGAATGCGGCGTGCCCCTGCAGTAGGTGGACCTTCACGAATGAAGTCGATCAACTCGGTTGTCCGATCTTGATCCACTTTTGAACTAACTGCTGAACGGGCCTCCATCTTAGGGCCACTGCGAACTGTGCTCGACGGGGATCGTGGGGTACTGAGGGGACTGCCTGGGCCGGGCGACTTAATAGAGTGATCGTAATCACTGGACGACCTAATATTTGGTTTCCGGTCGGCAGCTTGTTCCGGGTTTGATGTCTGTTGCGAAAGTGCAGTCGAGGGTATCTCAATAGCTTTGTATTTGGGTGTGCTAATAGTTCCCCTGGAAGACGTGTGAGAGGTGCTAGGGCGTGGAACTTCCTCCCCGGGAGGGGCGCTATTCTTCAAGAACTCAGCCAGGTCCGCAGTGCTCGACTTGACTCTCCAGCGGGGTGAGTCAGGTTCCTATAGGAGAATATTTATTAGTCGGCGAACTCAAAGAAAAAAGAGAGAGAAGGAGTAAGAAAGAAAATAAAACATACCTCAATTTCCCGCATATTTTTCGGGGTTAGGGTATAATGGAGAGTTTCCTCACTGCGGATCAATTCGTCCAAGCCGGTCGTGTCGTCATACGGCTCGCCAGCGAACGGATTAGTCTCGCAGGAGTTGCGCAGGCGAAGTGAAACAGAATCCCCCTGAAGACCAATGAGACCTTTCAGCCTGCTTGAAACCTGAGAAGTGGTCGACCCTGCAGTTACTGGGCGTTTCTCCCGTTGGCTACTAAAACTGTCGGAGCGACGCGATCTGGAATAGACGGAAGAGGCTGCTGAAGTGGTCGGTCGGACGACACGCTGAACCGCTGCACGTTCAGTCACCGAACTTATCGAGGATACCCCTGAACTTGAACGGCCGTAACGATGTTGACTTATACCCACCAAGGGGCTTGGTCTAGGTCGAGTCCGCGAACGGTCAGAATAAACACTTTCTTCAGAAGTGGAAGGCGGGCGAGAGATCTTCTCTTCCAGGTCAGTCGAAGTCCGAGTCTGAGGGACCGATAACTCTGTCGAAGCTGTATTCGTATCAGAATTCTTTGAAACATCGTGACTGATGGCAGGCTGCGCCGGGGTGGAGTCGTCCCCTTGCGTTTGTGACGGATCATCGACCACTGTTGGTATCGTTTGTTCGCTGATCACTCGGGTGGTAGTCGACCTGTCATTTTCGCGATTTGTGTCCCGGCTACTGATACGCTTCGGTCGCTGTATCGGAGCCAATTTGGGTTTTTCACACATTCCCTGTCCTTCAATCACCTCCGTATCGGAATCGGTCTGGAGACGATCGCTCAGAGACGTTGACGAACCCGAAGTACTACTGGCTTGACTCGACTCTACCCCCACCGACACAGCAGATTGTGACGACGTAGCCATCCTATCCTGCTCCAACGATTCCTTCGGTAGAGCATCTGCCTCTGATACCTGCTCGATTTTGGCCTTGGGAACCTCATCATCCTCATCGTGTTCGTACATGGTTTCCAGTGGCTTTTGTTCGTCAGATGCGGTGGGTGATGGCTGGTCGGCAGTTTGGTCAGCGTCTACCGGCTCCTGAGGGGTACTATCGGGCAACGACTTCGCGCGGACATGACGACTGAACTTTGCGCTCAGTGGGGTGATAGGGGATGTGGGAGATCTTGGTGATGGCAGGGTCAGCACCATCAGGCTATGGGGTCGCACTTTGTGAGCCACTACTGCCTGCATGGTCTGGACGACCTCAGCACCTTCACCATCAGATGTGAAACCTTCGATCTCTTCGATATCGTGGTCGCCAATTGGGAGTGCAACAGAAGCCGGGTCAACCTCTTTCGGGATCTCGACGATCGGTCTTTGTGGCAGCTCATCCCCGGTTACCATACTGCTCTTCCGACACGATGAAGGACCAATTGTTGAACGGCGTCGGATAGACTCTCGAGAAACCGCTCGGGACATCATAGGGGACCGAGTGTACCTGCGCCACGTGCGCCAAAGACGACCCATGGTTGGGTTCAATGCTAATTTCTCCATATCCAGGTCCTCCACGACTAACCGGTTGATGGTGCCTCGTTCTGCGCCAGGCTCTGCCTCCTCGGGACCCTCACTCGGTTTGACGGATAGTCGTGACCGAGCTGTTTCGCCCGCTATCACCAAGGCCTGTTCACCAATATGCTCGATGATGGAGGTCAGGAAGATGGCAGCCGGCGGCGTAATATTTCCTACATGCGTAGAAAACCTCGGCGAGAGACTACCGTCATCATCCAACCCATTCTGTGCGATATACTCCTCCTCGTCATCTTCTTCCATATCTCCCAGCCGGGTATAGACCATACAGCGCAAGCGAGTCAATTTCCAGGAACGGACCAGGTCGAAATCACCGTTTTGAGACATCCCCCGACCGAACTGGAACTGCTCATCCTCCGGACCACCCATATATTCGTTCAACTCCTCATCTGCCGCGGAGACCACTTGGTTTGCGAGTCGCGGTTTTAACACATCCGCCACCGCAGGTCGAATACATGCTAGTTGCGTTGACTTCGCAGCCGCCAGAATATTAAAGAGAAGATGGTCCAGGAATCCATTCAGAGCTGAAAGAGCTTCGGGGGTAACAATCGCTTTGGCATCCGAATCACCGCCATCTTCCGCCACGAAGTCCGCAGTATTGAATTCTTGGTCAGCGGTGACGATCTGAGCGGCGGACGAAGGTGCAATGAAGGACGGCGGAGGATTCGCTACTGGCGGGGTCATGTGAATGCGAGGATGCGAATCGCTCGACATGCTGTTACTCCGGGAGCGTGAGGCCGTTCGCCCCATGTCGGACTCTGAACGTTTTGTATGCAGCATCGTCGATCTGAGGGATCATATGCACCTGGCGGGGCTGCGCTAATCCGGGGTTCGGCGTATGGCGGTGACGTATTTTGATCTTTTTGTTTTCTTCTTATTGTTATTGAATCTGGGAAACCTGGATCATCCTGGAACGGTGAAACCATGGAATTTCGTCAGCCTTGTGGTCAATTGTGCAGCCCTCCGTCGGGTCACTCTTGCGATGACTGGGATGTAGCATGCGAGCTGACGGCATCAGGCCGTTCACGGGGCGTACTGAAGCTCAGGGTGATCCCCAAGGCGAACCCGGGGGGTAAAAAGAAGAAAGTATTCAAGTGAAAATGCTGAAAAAACGTTGGACCGGTACTCAGACATACCCGTGTAACAAGTTCAAAAGCTCTTCACATTCATTTCGTTAGTGTACTCCGTACCATTGGAATGGTTCCGAGGAACCGATCAGTCATTAGAAAAGGTGAACCGTAGCAGACAGACGATGTGTATCCGATCCCAGGACCAGGGAACGCCGTAGAAAAAGGAGAAGGAGAAGGAGGCGACAGTGAAGAAAGAACGAGAGAAAGAGAAAGAGAAAGAACACAAGTGCCGTCTTCTACCATCCGGAGGCAGATCAGGAGTACTAAACCAAGACTAAGGTCGTAGTAACGGCGGAGAAGTTTAGTAAACAATTCTAATACGGAGCACACCACCGTATTAGAATTCTTTATTTATTAGTCTCGTCCCCATGAATTTAATTTTAATTAGAATTTATTTTATTAGTTATGACTACGACTCTGGCCCAATTTTTTTTTTATTTAATTTTTCCTTTTTCTTTTTCATTTGGCGGAAATACTAAGGTTGACTGCCCATTGAAGTTTAGCGAGGCTGCAGGATCAGGAGAGACGGAAAAGTGGAGACGCACGATGGCGCATCCTCTTTGGGATCCGTGGGTGGAGCCAACAAGTACCTGACTAGTCGCTTTCTTTCTAGTCAACTGCACTAGTCTAACCTGAATGTTACAGGGTCAGTCTTAGTCGACTATGTATGTACTAGTAGTCGTCAGTAGTAGGTACAGAATACATACACTGTGACCAAGGTGTCTCTTGTCATTGCTCAAACCCAAAAGAGCCCTTACGACACTCCCGTGTCTCTGCTTCTTAGTGCCAAACACTGATCTCACTCTTGACATGAGCCAACTGGTGTCATCCAATTGATTCTATTCATCCTTGCCACTCGTCGGAGTACTTCTCCGGGACGGGATATCCCCGTTATCCCGTGCAGGCACCCTCCGATAGTGTCCTGATAAGCAGTCACTCGTTCCACGGTTCTTCTGGTCATCATTCTGAGGTGATAACCCGACAAGTTACTGCGACAGGCAAGCCCTGCGAAGAGAAAGAAGCCCAAAGGAAGACCAAAATAAGGTCAAGATGACACTGAGACGGAAACGATCTCCATCCCGAGAAAACTAACGAAAGAAAAAGGCCCCCACTTAGTCTTCCGTCCCAAACCCCCTGAAGAGCCAATCCGATTGGGGTTTACCCGTCCCAGCTCCCAGGGTCAGGGGGGCGAAACCACCAGAAAAGGAGCCGAAAAAAAAAAAAAAAGAAAAAAGAAAAGAAAACGAAAACGAAACAGGGAAAAAAGTAAGAAGACGGCCCGGCAAGGATTTCACCGTGTTTCAAGTCTGTATTAAATCTAGTATCTGTATCTCTCTGTAAGTTCTGGGGGATCATCATCTTGACTTTTTTTTTCGGTTCTGTCCGGCTCTTCACCATGCTGAGGTGAGAGAAATAATTGCGTCCCTAACTTATCTATTCTTGCCTAACGACCGCGCACGAGATGGTCCGCCTCGTGCCCTCACTATCATTCCCTCTATTTTTTTTTTTTTTCTCTCCGGATCGGCTCTTGCACACGCAGTACTGGACCACCGACTCTCCATCCAAAGTTAGTTTCCCAAACTATTGGAGCTGATCCAATCGTGGCCCAAATTCGCAATGCCACTTGGGGGAGGAAAAGAGGCTGATCCACCTGACACTATTGTTCCTCCTTATCCATGCCCTGCAGTGAGATCATTTGATTGGATGTCCCCTCCATCAGTATTTCCTCCGACTCTGCGTTCTCCTTTTTTATTAGTCGTCTTTTGCCTCCCCTTCTAATCCACCGACCCGCCACTCGATACTCCATACACCACTATATACCGAATACTCCATATAGTACCAAGTAAAAAAAGAAAGAAAAGAAAGAAAGAAAGAAAACCGAGACGATGCAAACCAAACGCACCAGAAATAAAGGGACGATCATGACAGCACGCCCGAGCACCAGAAACGGGGCACAGATCAACACTTCCCCATACGGGGCACCGAGCTTACTCGACAGCAACCAAAGCCGTGACCGCTTAAAGCTGTCGAAACATACCCTGACATGGCACGGGCTTCCTTGATAAAGCAAAACATCCTTGATTCAAATCCACCCGTCCAATCCACGCCTGAAACTGGCCAGAGCCCTGCCGATATGAACCCACTAAGTTATCTAAGTTGGGACCCCTCCTCCCAGAGATTGATAATCTTATTCGGCAGTTACCAGGTCGAAAAGCCAAAAAAGACAAAGCCCCGTCCAATTTCGGGGGAATGAATTTCATACCAAAGGGTGTGTGGACTAAACCTCTGTTAATGGCGGGTAGACTAATGCCGTATCTCCATTCGTGGGTCGTTCGTTTTTCTCCCGCGGGGTTCAACGTAATTTCCATGGTTGATGGTGACAGGTTCATTCAGATTGGATTAATCAACTAGATCATGGGATGAGTAAAGTGATCTCAGCTGAGATCAGCTCAGCCAACATCGTTCGAACTGGTGTGGTAAGCTGAGCAAGAAAGTATACTCCGGATGAACTATATCTGATGCACATTAGTAGTCACCTCAGTAGGGCAAGTACCGAAGGAGTCCCCACGACGGAGACGATAGGCCACGGAGTACTTCGGACCTACATGACTCGAGCAGTCGATCTTCCAAGGCAAATTTCCCAGGAACCACTGGGAAAGACCGAACCACCCAATCTATACCCATGTACATACGTACGCAATGCTAGTATAACCCCGGCGTACAGTAGTGGTAGTAGTCGTCATGTACATGCCTACTACCCATCGCCCATAAAGTACTCCGTACGGAGTACCAATACATTCCTTCAGGTAGAACCGCAGGATTCCGATCCCAGCACCCACCAATGTAAAACACATCTGAATCAGCCCACGGTCGTCGTCTCACGATGGACCAGGATGTCGGATCCCTGCATGCATGAGCTCGGCTCCACCCTGCCTGGCCCAGATGATACTAAAATCGTCCGGCCCCCAGAAAAAAAAAAGCAATAACAGAACTGTTTGATTACGTCTCAGGCTAGCCCTAGCCTTTCTGCCTATTATTGCTTTTTTTTTTTTTTGCTTTTGGGGTCCGAACATCTAGAATCTTACTCGCATATCATGTACTAGTCAGGTTGCACTATCGGATATCGTGGCGTTGGAGGGCCCAGATGATCACGGTGCCGTTTGTAGGTTTCAGTATTTACATGCGCAGGGTTGGGGGTGTATGCAGTTTGGACTCTGGGGGCGGTGCAAGATATTTCTGTCCATGTTGGGAATGGTTTGCATGATTCCCATATTTGATATTTATGGATCTTGTGGCTTGTGGCTTTCAATCTGTGGATAGGACGTGCCTGGCAATAGGTTATGGCAGTGCTGTCTTGAGATCAATGGGGACTAGTAGCCTCATTATGTTTTTGTCGGTCCACATCGGTCATGGTCATGCCCATATTTTAGGAACTCTGATACTGTCGCCTCTTCGTGCGGTCGTAAAGACAGACTCATGCGATCAGAAAAACAACCTTTGATCCTGGGGATGATCGCTTACAACCAAGAGAAATGCGACGGACTACATAAGGAGGCAATCGAAGTTATCCTCCCTATCTTGGCCTCGTGGTTGAAAAGAGAGTCATGTGGATATACCCATAGGGTTGAATGGTGGCCACGCCCAGTGAAACTCAATGTTTTAAAATGGAATAGATTAACCCGCTAGATAAAGCTTTTGTAAATCGCTATAGACAAACCAAATAAATTTCCATGTTTCCGTGCCAGACTTTTATATCACGTTGGCTTCGTTTTTCCTGCACGGAAGCCTTTCCTTGCTCGTAAATCATTTCAATGGACCATATAGGGTTTCCAGTTTTCGAGGGCATATGCAACGCCCCCCGCAAAAAAGCTCAGTTCATCATGTCCGATCTTGACATCACTGGCCAATCTTTCGGAGAGAAGGACCTCAATCTTCTTCAATAAACTCAGGTTAAGACTCTCACGGGTCGCGGCCGGCTGCTCCAGCGCCCCCTTTTCTTCGCTGAGGCTTAGCAGCTCATCAAACTCCTGCTTGGCAATGAGGTTGGGAAATGTTCCAATCACATGGTTGAGAGCATGGTCGAGGTAGACTCCATCGACATTATCGGCTTCCAGGTACGGTGATTTCACACGACCCATCTTTATGTCGCCAACCCGCGCGTGAAGGCGGGACTTGTAGCCGGGGTTAGCGATCCCGTTGATGCCATTCATATAGGCGATGAAAAGACGCTTGTCTAGGTCCACAACATCGCTGGGATGTTCTTCAGGCAACTGCTTGATGGAGTCACTGATACTGCCATGTTCGGGGTCTTCGACATCGTCGCCGATATCATTTCCCTCCTGTATCTGGAGGCTGCCAGATGCCCTCGCCATCTCCATTAGTTCATGGCAGGTCAATTCAGTACAAGGTGCTTCTTCTTCTTCTTGCAGTTCTGGCGCTTCAATATAGAGCACGTTGGTATCAAACCTAACGTTGTTCGACCCAAAGGAAATAAATGAGCCATCGGCCGAGTCATCGTCATAATCATAGTCATTGTCATCGTCTTCGCTGTATTCGGACATAGAGTCCGATTCATCTTCCCAGCATGTGACGTAGTACACTTCATCATCATCCGAATCCGAATCAGAGTCGGAATCGGAATCATCTTCTGATAAAAACTCAAACTCTTGTTCCGAAGCACCGGATGCATAGCCGGACTCGGATTCTCCATCATCCGCTATTTCAGCATATCGTCTCTTTAAGATCGGCTTTAAGTACGGACGATCTGTCGTTGCCGTAGTGGGTGTTACAGACGAGACCACCGACGAAGTAACGGTGGTCGGGTTAGTCGATGCGATTGATACCTCATCAGATGCATAACAGCTGTCCTGAGAGAGGGAGATGTCGAGGCCAGAGAATGTCGAAGAAAGAGACTCCCAGGACTTCTTGTTCATGGTTTGGTTGCTCATCTTGATAACCTGTGATCTGTGCTTGAGACACGTTCTGTCAAGTACCAATGTAGGTGTGTTGAGACCCAAGGCCTTGACAACAGGTGAAGAATAGACCGTTTGATTGATTGAAAAAGGATCAGTAATTGTATTTTCGATTTTGGAAGTTTTTGGCTTCAAGGCCTCCGAAGAATCGGTGGGAGTCCATGGTGAAGCACGAGCGTGAATCAAGGTATTCACCTAGTGGAGGCTGACGAGGGCATCCCCGACAAAAACAATGTTGAAATACATATTGGTGATTACGTCGAGATCCGTGAACTTCCTGAGGTAAAAAACATGCACTCCTGGTGCTGTTCAAGGTTGCCGGTACAAGGCTCCGGTTTAAGTCCTCTCCTCGTTTTCAAAATAGGGTTGAATTTGATGGACTCTGCGTTGATATACATATAGACTGTAGATGTGCGTAATCGAGATCTTCCAAGGTATGTTGATTACCCGCGACGCGTTGCGTGGCCTTAGCGGGAACAGTTGAGTCTGGACGAGAAAGCACAACTTCCTCGGTTGAGATAGAGGTGTTTTCGCGTCGTTGTACCAGAGACGATGAGTCGAGCCCAGGGCTTATAAATTCAACGCCACCTTGCGTGGGATGGGGTGGGATTTAGCGGGGGCGCGAGGGGTAACAATCGGAAGATGGTCGGATTGCCCCTAGGAAAGTTCAGAGGTACACTATCATGTACCCACACAACAAACGTGTGGTAGCGACAAGAGTGGTGAGGATGGAACAGCACAGGGTGCCTGTGGGAGGAAGGTCAAGGAAAGACGGCCGTCGCTGACAGTCCTGCCTTGGGAGTCAGATTTCCGTCATCACCCACCACCTGACCAGTTGCGGCTGTTCGCCTCCTTCCTTCGGCTTCTTTCGGCCCGGCTTTCGGAAGCCCAGGAGCGGTATAGCGTACCTCGGCTGCCGCTTGTTTTTCAGCGAATGGAAGTCATGCAACCAGTTCGGTGGCCATGTTGATCCGCTCCGGGTTAGGGCTTTCTGGACCGGAGGACCCGATCTGGTACTACGCAGTATAAGCTATAAGCAAGTAATGAAGGAGAAAGGAACCGCGTCAGGCGGGACGATGGTTGTGAAACAGGTCAAAATCTAGGTTGCACAATCAAGACTGAGTAGATCCCTACTAATTCTATAAAACTAAATGTGTACTTATGTTTAATTAGCAGAAGTACTGGTCATGGGTGGTTGAATGAATGAAGGACACTCGCCTTCATCTGGTGAGCAACAGTCAAGGCGATCTTTGTTCAGTACCTGCATAACTGCAGGTACCACGATTGGGTGTGTACTTTGAGGCAAGGTACTGATACGTCCCTTGTACTCTCAACCTAATCCGTTCCTAGATGCTTATCATTCTTAAGTGTCAAGCATTCCAATCTCAAAATAGGTCCTTCTTTGAACAACACAAGGGATGCCACAATCTTATCTGGGCTTTCACCAAGAGTAGTAGTTCAAGCATTCTTTCATATGGCTGCTTCCTCCCTTTGAGTTGTCAATCCTTTCCACCTTGTCCACTAGTCAAAAATCGACCCTTGGTTGAGCCGATTGTTTTTTCCTAATCCTGGACAGCAGTGGTATCCAATTTAGATTTAGGTGTTTGAGCCTCGATGGTTAATCTCCTACAGGTCTTGGCAAACCATGATCATCGTTTGTTTGTTGCACAATAACTGCCTTCCAGAGATGGGCCAAGGGTAAGACGGATTTGGACAAAGAAACCACCGTTCGGGCGTCCTGAGCTACATCGACATCGCGTGGTCTTGAGTGGAACGTGATAGCTATACTATATCCCTGTACAACAACCAAATTACCTGCTGAGAAATTAGGCTGTGGCGATCTCTGACGATCTCTTGCGATCTGGAACACATTTAATTTTGTTGACATCCAAGATGAGGAAGACTGAATGCAAACAATTAAAGGACTGGTCAAAGGGAGCCGTTACGCGTAAAGAGGATTAATTATAGAAACTTCAGCAGAGCAGATTAGCACCTGCCATGCATATCTTTTGTTCCAAACTTCTTTGAAGCTACTTACCAATTGGAACACAACGAGAACCTGCCAGTATGGAAATGATTTCCCCTTGGTGAACACTTGTTCCGTGCATGGTTACTGGAGGCGCGCATTCCTTGCCAGTTTTAGCATTCCGGGATCCATTCCAACCGGCTGATCGACTCCTCAGCATTGGAGGGCTCGACCGCTCGAGCAGCCCCGACTCCACCGAACTACTCAGTAAAGAATCCCATTGAACAAGGTTCAATTGAAAGTGGAGGAAGGATCTTTCCCGGATATCCACACAAGCTCTGGGTCTAATTCATAGGGTAGTATCATGATTCATGACGCTTACATTCGGTACGTCATTTCACCGTTATGGGTGCTTCCCATTAAGGACCGGCCCTTCTCCAATTGAGAAACACACCAGGGCTGCGCGTACAAGCCGGCCAGTAGCTACTCCCATTGTTAATGATCAACACTCGCCATCATTGGTGTGCACCAGAGGGTTCTCCTCTGGGGCCCTCGTATGACTGTCCTGCTGATACGACACACCCTGTTTCTGGTATAGTAAAGGTTGCATTCCACCAAGTGGCTAATGGAGACATCCGAGCATTTTCTCTGTCAATGAATGTGGGCAAGCTCCAGAGGTATCCATTCAGCCACCCAATTTTCCAGCTCCTGTGATTGGTCGGAGCAGGGTACTCAGGCATTCAGGTCAAGCAATGGGCCTAGGGTGGACCATATGGGGAGCTTCCCATCCCCCTCTGGTGCATTCCTTACCCATCTTTAGAGCAACTGGAATGTGTGTAGAATCCCAGAGGCTGGGTCCTCCGCGCAACGATTCAAATACAGGCCTCTGGCTGTTGTTTGTTTTCTTTGTCTCCTTTGCATCTTCTGCAGTGTTTTCTTTGATTGTCAAACCATCAAACCACTCCTACACACCAAACATTCCAACATCGGTCGCTGCAAAGAATCGAAGCTCTTTCTGGACGGATCGCCGGCTAAGGATCCGCAGTTCCCTTCGACCCAGAGTATACACTGGTCGCCAATCAGGTTGGATCCTGCCCACCACTTTGTTGGTAAACGTTCTCTTTGACAGCTGAGGTTGGGACCACCATCGCCGCAAACGGAAAGGGAATATCCGACAAGATGTTTGCACAACCGTTCGACCATTCGTTCAACAACGATGATTTATTCAGTCAGTACGTCAATATTGATGGCTCGAGTACCGACGGCAACAAAGACGTTTCATTCCCTAGCGACTTTGATCAATTCTTTTCCCTGGACTCATTGTCAAGTAATTGTGGCGAGCAGTCGCCTATCATCCCCACGTCCAAACAACAAGCCCATCCTTCACCAAACTGGGCGAAGGATCTCTGGAGCCTGCCGCCAGATGCACCCTCATCTCTAGGCCAAGCCCCCCTTGCATTTCAAGACACCGTCCATCCCTCTGCTGTTTCAGATCTAAACGTCAACCTTGAAGCTTCTTCGACGACTCGCCCTGCAGAGACCCGCTCGTCGCCGACAACTCCCCCGGGAACTCCACGCCGTAAACCAAAAAGTGCATTAGTCACTCCGAAGTCTATCCAACGTCACCGCGAACCTAATGGTCGCCGTGGTTTGCAGCACAAACAAAGCTTCTCCCCCAGCCTGACACGTCCTTCTCAGTTCCAGAAAAAAGGAAGGATGGCGTATCAAGAAGCTTGGGCGCACCGACTTCAGAACTTAAATTTCCTGCGTAGTGCCGATGACCGATTCCCACTGTCGCCGCCACCGTCCGATATCCTGCCACAACAAGAGAACATAGCGGCTGACAACAGCGCCATACACATCCATCATTCGGGAGATTCTGCCGAGATGCATCATCACTTCGACTCTAGCATTTTCACTCCATCTCCTGCGATATCCATGCCATCGCCGTGTACAGGAGTGTTATCAAGACAACAAGCCCGGTATTTAGGCCACTCCAATAACTCCACTGTGACTTCGAGCCCTCCTTCAGCAGACGACATCTTTCCCTCCCCGCATTCCTCGGATCCCCAGTCCATGTCCTCCTGGCATTCCGATACGCTCGGCACTCCCGGGCTGTCTTTCACGCCTGATCTTCAGAGCCACGATGCTCAGGCCTGGTGGCCTCCTATGAATGCTCGGGTGCCCCAACGTCAACATTCCTATCAACAAATAGTCGCGTCGCCCCCTCCACAACAACCTATCCAGAGCACCCCCCATCAGCATGACATGGCCAATAATCAACATGACATCCTGCAAGGAGGTCTCATGATCCAGATGGATCCCTCTGCATATGACATGACCGCGACGGCCAATTCATCGTTTTCCTCGACTACCATGGCTCCGACGGTGTCCAACTGTCAGGAGAACCACACTTATAGCCACATGCCAGCCGCTCACCCTAAATATGTTGACACATCTTCCTTTGCAACTGCCCAGCTTCAGCCCCAATCGCGGTCTCCATCTCTGTCTCCGCGAGCAGATCGATCCCCCAAGGATGTATTAGCCATGCATCACAGCATCACCATGAAAGCTCAGCGCCGTCAGCCTGGCCGGAAGATTTCCTCCAACTCCATGAATGTCCCCAAGCCCGTCAAGGGATTCCATGGGTCGGAGAGCCCCAAGAGAGCCGGCAAGTCGGTAACTGTATCATTTGTAAACTTTACGCCAAATGACAGTCAAAAAATTCTCACAGGAGTTGCCCCCAGTGGCAGCTCCAAAACCAAAGCGCGCCGGGAACAAGAAGCCCGTGACCGGCGTCGCAAGCTGAGCGAAGCCGCACTTAATGCAGTACGGAAAGCCGGTGGAGATGTGGAGGCTCTCGAGGCTGCGCTGAGAAACCCCGTTAGTTGCAAGGATAACAACCAGGCATCCGCCTTGCAAGTAACAGGGTATTGCAACTAACCAGGGAGGTGTTTCAGCCCTTTGCTAAAACTGGAGGTAATCCCATTTGCCTGTTTGTTTGTTTGTTTTAGTTCTGCTATATACCTTTTTGTCATTTATCTTACTTTATATTGAGTGTTTTCAGTCGGTCTGTTCGGTGTTCTGATGGATCCGGAGTCTAAAACACTGAGAGAATCTGTTTGAGCGTTAGATTTGTCCCTGGCATCTTAATCAGCCCACCGGCCCGTCTTACCTAAACCTAATCTGGCATAATGTATTCCACCTTGATGTACATATCGAGTCTGCAAAAGTACTACAAATGCCACACCTCTTTCAAATATAATTCTGATCTTCTCATTGCTTAAGTCTTCTTTATTGGTGGATTAATTATAATATCGGATCGAATGTCATGTGAAAGCCGCGAATGTCTTGGTGGACACTGACATGTAAGAAAGTCTTCTAGCATATAGCACAACTATTATACACAGAGCCCATTCCACCCCAAAAGAGCATGAATCTCATAAAATACATATCTAAAGTACAAAGATCCAGATCAAACTCCATTTTCCAATGTGAAGTAGTATTAAACCACTCGGACAATATCATTATATCCAGAGCCCTTGAATGGGCCTGAATCCAGCCTTGCCCCAGATCACCAGCAGATATAGCGCAGTCGTGTCCCCATATTTCTCCGACGGGAGAAAAGCGCAATACAGCTTTGAAACCAAAGCTACCTGATAACTCCGAGCCATAACAAGCCACATAGTAACCGGGCCACGAATTGGAATTGACAGCGCTCAATCGCGACAGTCGGGACGTAATCATTCAAACGGCGCGTGTAATCTACCGACGAGATAAAGATCGACAATCCTAATTTCTATCCCGTCCTTCAACCTCATCGTTGAGACGGTTTCGGTGTCCAGGTTTGCGGCTCCCACTCCTGGCTAGGAGCTCCTCGGGCTGCAGCCCAGGGGTCCTTTTTAGCGGCCGGGGTCTCGGCATTCTCTGCTTTTTGTTGGGGTGGAGGGGCAGTACTGTTGCCCTCCGTGGATGTATTCATGGTCGCGTCTGTCGTTTGGGCTGCTGGCGCTGGTTGTTTGGTCTGTGGCATGTCGAGGTAGGAGGGCTTGCTGGCCCAGCGCTCATCGGCTAGCCGAGCCAGTTGCTTGATTTGAATCTGGCGGAGGACATCTTGTTGCTGTTCTTGGACGGAGGGTGGTTCGGCTCGGACGTAGCGGAGCCACTGGTGCCATTGTGCTGGATTCCCATTTTGTCAGTTCATGACTGATTTCTTAGCAGGTCCGAGAGCGGAGTCGAGTAAAGTAGATGAAAAAAAGAAGGCAGATGTACTTACGGCTCACTTGGACGTCAGCGTAATGGGTTTTAGGGTTGAACTTGACGATCCGTCGGTATCGCGCAGCATTCAGGGCATCTTTAAATTCCCAGAATGTGTTTCCGGAGAGATCCGTTCCTATTGCAAGGACATTTAGTCTGAGACATTGCTGATGACTCGGTAGCAACCCTGAGGTTGAACATACCAACGAGGAAGGATTTTCGCCACGGCAATCGAAGGCTCTTCCACTTGAACCACAGACTATTCACCGGACTCATTGGGGGCCGATCGAGGAAAGGAATCAGGCGGCTATGAATAGTAAGAAAATAAAAATTCAGGAAATCGAAGCAGCGTCATCCACCTTGACTTGAACGGGGGGCTTAGACTTAGGCACCGAAGGGATTCATTGAAGGACGGACGTCATCGGGTAAGGCAGGGCTGTGATAGGTCACGGTATCACGGCTTAGTCGATCTACAGGAGGAGAAGGACAACAGCATTCCATTCCATTCATTTCCTTCCCGGTTCCTTATGAACAGGTATATTCTAGTTTGTGTTAATTCACTATTCTACTACTGGGTGGATTTTTTTTTTCTTTTCTCTCTTATATTTTTCACCCCCTTTTCATTTCCACTGTTCTTCTCCTTACTTGGACGCTACTTTGTATATAATCCACCGAACTATTCGATTCTAGATCCATTCAATTTGCCTCTTCTATATCAGGAGGTACCGCCTCCTATTTCGCCCCCCTGGTTCCCGTACCACGGTTCATGCCAACGGCTGGCGACATAAACAGTCGATTCCATCTGTCGGTCGTAGTGAGAAAGAAGCCTACTCACGACAGACCGATTGTTTCAGATAAAATCTGAATCTCAAACATGGCTTCCGTTACGTCACTGGATAAGGATTTGCGCAGTCTGCGCCTGTCCCGCTATACCCCGCAGGCTGCCGCAGAAGTCCGCAACTGGATTGAAGAAGTCCTCCATGAAAGACTACCAGCCGGAGATCTTCTAGATGCGCTCAAAGATGGCGTCGCGCTGTGCAGGTAGGTCGGATAATTAGATTTCTTGCATACTCTGATCACAATTCGACGTGCTAACATAACCCTAGGCTGGTCAACCTTGCCGTTTCTCCCGGTGTCAAGTATAAGCAGTCATCGATGCCCTTTGTACAGATGGAAAACATCTCACACTTCCTTCGCGCGTGTCAAATCGCACCCCTGAGCCTTCCTCCGCATGATGTTTTCCTCACTGTCGATCTTTATGAGGCCAAGGATCCCGCACAGGTCCTGCAGTGCCTGATGGCTTTCAGTAGGAGGGCTAATGCTCTCCAGCCTGGCAAATTCCCTCGCACCATTGGTCCTCAGAGCAAAGTTGGTGGTTTAAGCCCCAATGCGACCGGTTCCAGTCAGGGCGCCCATACACCCTCTCGGCCACGGGGGCTCAGTAACGCAAACTCCAGCGCCTCTGGATACTCAAGCCCAGCCAAATCTCCAGGTCCAGTGAGCAGTTGGAGCAAAAGAACGGATGAGCATACGACAATGCCAGCTTGGAACATCCACCAGTACGGCTATATGGGCGGTGCTAGTCAAGCCAACCAAGGGGTGGCGTTTGGTGCTCGTCGACAGATCACGACCGCTGCACCAAATGTACCGAGTCTAGCTGAAAAGGAGAAGCGCAGGCGTGAAGAAGAAGAGCGCCAGCGCTTAGAATTCGAGGAGTCTGAGCGCAGACGTCAAGAGCGAGAAGCGGAAGAAATGCGTGCGCGAGCAGAAGAGGAGCGTCGATGGGAGGAGGAAACTGCCCGTCTAAAGGAGCAAGAGCGGCGCAAGCTTGAGGAGGAGCGAAAGCAATGGAATGATCAACAGCGGCGGTGGGAAGAGGAGGAGCAGCAGCGTCAGCGCGAGGAGAGAGAAGCCGAGGCGAGGCTGGAGAGCGAGAGGCTGCGCCGTCGGGAAGTCAACGATACCCGCCTGAATGGACAGTTCCTCAGTCAATACCAAGCAAGTCAAGCTACACTGAGCCAAGCTCCCGCCGAATCCTCGGAAAGCCGGCGCATAAGGGAACTCGAGCAAGAGTTGGAGACCGCTAAACAAAGAGAGGCAGAATATCAGCGCGAGCGCCAGGAGCTACAGGAAAAACAAGCCGCGACTCGTGCACCTCGCCCGGTACCTGTACCCCCTAAGCCGAGCTACGATCTGTCCTCGCTCGAGTCGGAACGCCGTCTACTTCGCACAGAGTGGAATAAACATCAGAACGAAGAGTCAATTCCTGAAGCGGCGAGCCCCCCTCCTTCCTTACCTTCCCTACCTTCCTTACCTCCCCGGCCACTCCCCGAGCCAGTCGCTACTTCACCCCGGCCCCTTCCGGACCCAACGCTTTATGCTGCGAAGCCCGTGAATCAAGAAAGTCGCGTAGATCGTTTCCTCGCATCTAATCGACCTCCCGTCGCACCCAAGCCGGCCACCCATCGCCCACAAGACTACACAACGACTGCCGAGGTCGACGCGGAAAATAGCCGCCGCGCAGCAGCACAGCAGAAGACCAAAGCGGGCGGATGGGCGTCCAAGTCATTGCTGGAGCGTGAAATGGAGCGCGAGCGCGAGCGCCAGCGTGAGTGGGAGGAGAACCAAAAGCAAACGCAACAGGCCGCTGCCAACGGCCTGAAAGATGGTAGTCTCGGTGTTGGGCCGGGACAAGGGGCTTGGGATGTGCACCAATACGGCTTTATTGGCGGTGACAACCAGAACCGCGGCGGTCCTGGCCTGGGAGTTGGAGGCGCAAGGAGACAAATCATTGGCCCCCGTCCTCCTCCATGATCACAGATGTTGAAACCCAGGTCGTAATCTAGCCAAAGCTTCTATACCTATTTATGTTTACCTGTTGATGGCGGTTGGTTTTTGTTTTAAGAGTTTGATTCCATTACTGTTTCAAAATCTTGGTGGCTAGCTGTAGATAAGCTGTGAGCAACTTGAATAGTTCATTCAATCAAGATATATAAAAAAGGCCAAACCACAACAACTACAACAAGGACACCAGTAACATGCTAAACGCACACAGACAACAAGGGTATCTATACGCCAAACTCAAGCCGTCGAGAAACAGAATCCCCCACAACGTTCTCCCCCCTCACCTTCGAACAACCAAACCCTAACATGCGGAACCAAATCACCCGTCCGAATCTTCCGCACGGGGAAGAACCTCCTCAACAAGAAACCTCAACCGCTCCCCACTCTCCAGCAACCAGCACCACTCCGCATCTTCCGATTTGCGCGCACTCACGCTCTTCTTCGTCTCCGTTTGGGCTCTCTCTGCACGGCGCTGGATACCCTCTTCCACCGCTTCTTGCAGCTCCGTAGTCACCCTTAGCATGTCGCTGTTTGCGAGTAGGATCAGTAGTGTCTCAAGGAGAATCGACATCTTGGTGTTGTCCACTACGCTGGTCGAACTTGCCGCGTAGGGGAGGAAACATTCTTCGAGCTTTGCTTGGCTGAGATACTCCTCGTCGGTGTCTGGGGCTGCGCTTTCACGGATGCGGAAGAGCAGGCATTCGCAGAGGGTTGTGCACGCTTCTGAGGAGAAATAGGGCAGTGTTGACGGGGCGACGAGAGCCTGGAAGACGGGGAGGGGGAGATGGCGGATGTTTTCGACGAAGTAGTGGTAGAGCTCCTCGAGGGGGATGAAGACGTCGGGGAGAGTCTCCGCTACACCAGAGAGGAGGTGGAGGAGACGTTGGCGGAGAGCCAGAGATTGGAAGCCGCCGTGTGAGGAGACATCGCTGAGGGCGTAGACTGCTGACGTGGGATTGACTGCGTCGGTTGATTTGGCGTCTTTGGCGCGGGTGCCTCGTCGGGGTCGTTTGGTTTGTCGGGTTGGTCGTTTTGAGGCCGTGCCTGGGTCGTTCTTGTTGTTGTTATCGGAAGACTCGTCGTCATCGGTTAGATAGTCGCCGTATTGGTCTTCATCGATGTTGACCTGCACTTCGCGTTTCTTGGTATTCTTGTCTTGCTTTGGTTTTTTCAGCTCGTGGTGGAAGACCTCGCGGAATTCGTTGGCAGAGGCCGAACCACCGTCTGCGAAGATCGCGCGGAGGATCCGTCGGTTGCGCCCATGTACTACTGTTGTTTCAGTTATATAGCGGAGGATTAGACTGTCTTTGAGGGCTTTGTGATCGGTGTTCGAGGCGTGGTCGCTCATTCTTTTGCGTTCGTTCCAATCGTCTTCGAGCACTTCGCACATGTATTCGAGCCAGATCTGCCACTTTTCCCAGCGTTCACGGTGGAGCACGGAACAGTTAAAAGCCCATCCGACTGCGTGCCAGAAGTCCTCTGCGCGGGACCACACGGAGGCAGACTGGGCCAGGTCGAGGTTCAGCGGCTTCAGGTCATCGTCGGGTGGGTGCTCGTCTTCGGTGCGCCGGCGGCGTCCCTGGCGAGAGGTCTCAAAGTGGGTGAAGGAGAATGCTGTCCCGAGTTTGGCGGACACTGGGCCGGCGAGGGTGTTTGCGAGGCGGAGAAGTCGTAGGGAGACATTGGAGGATTCTTCTTGCTCAGCGGTTTTCGCCCGGGTGGTGGTGGAGGGATGGACGAGGAATGTCGCGGCGAGAGCGAGATGCTGGGGCGATGGGACGTAGACTGGCGTTGGAGGGATTGTGCCCGTGGTGATGATATTTAGGAGTAGGTTTAGAGCTTGCGTGTCTGGTTAACGGATGCCGCGGTCAGTTCGATGATCAAGTGAATTGCGGGGAGTGAGGGGAGGCGGACAGAGCTTCTCTTCAAAGAAAATGCCTACATGTTGGACCAGCTCAAAGGGAAGTACCCTAGCAGGACGGTAGAGAGGCGAGGGCGCCTCTTCGTCTGCCACAGCCATTGACTGGGGTGATTGCTCGTCGACTGAGAGATGTGATGTTGTAGAAGGCTGAGAATCGCGGTGTCGCGACGCTTATCGATATGCGACAACCACGTGTAATAACAATTACCCCGGTCATGGTCATAATCCATGGTTTGTTTTGCGTAATTGATACGGATATCTGTCTACCGATTGTATACCAAGTTTCGAGCAACCTGGTCTACACGTAAACTCAAACAGATCTTGGTTATCTGATCTACACAGTATACTGCCATGCTTTAGTAGAGGGTTTTGATATATATGCAGCATATTACTCAAATAAAGGAGCAAATAATCACCAATTCAAGGTGCTGTAGTGTAGTGGTTATCATGCTTCGTTGTGGTTAGTTCCGCAGCCCCGAATCGACCTGGGTTCGATTCCCAGCAGCGCCAATGGCGTTAGATAACTTGATTGGTCTCTTTTTTTGCATTTCTTAGATGCATGTTCCCTATCTTATCTACTACCTACCCACCCCCTTTTTTTTTTTTGGTCGTCTGTATGTATAGATAGGGGTGGGTGATTTGCACTTTGAAGCCCCTATAATGATAACCCTAATCTTATTTTTTCAGTTGATCAGGTGGAGTAGAGCGAACACCTTTAGTGTCCAAGGAAAGCCGGTGTGACAAAATCTCCTTGATTTACCTCTCGATATTACACACAGAGTAGCCGAGATATATATACATGGCCTTATCTTGCAAGGGAGTCAACAAGATCCCCCAGTGTAGATAGTTTGGCCACTCCCCCTTACCTGTACTGCATAAATAGTAGTTGATAGTGAAGATAGCCCAGTGGCATGATTACCCACATAACAGGTAGTATACAAACAATAACCCCCAATACTCCATGCAACCCTGTAGATACCGTACACAAAGAGAATCAGTTCCGCCCATCCACCCCACAGCCCGCAGATGAGCCCCGGTTACATACGTATGTTCAGCTAATTAAAGAACAAATCGCACACACCGTACCTGAGTTTAGACGGTCTAGAATGAATGACCCCTAAGCGAAACGGTAGAAAGGTGTTTATAGTACCGCCGGCGAGGCTACGGCAATCTAAAACCATCTCTAACATGCCTAGGTACCATTTCTAGGCACACGAACTCCAGAACCACAAGCCAAGGTTCGCGAACAAACCCCAATTGGCTACCTAAGATAGGGTTGATTGCTGTATCCCTCATGTGACCCGACAGAGCTGCATGATCTAGGTTGACCCTAATGCAATCAATAAACGTAATCCCCGCCCAAAATGGTATAAACCAAAACACCAGCCTGGAAACTTGTGTCAAGCCAAGTCCTACGTAAAGCCCAGACTCGTCCAGTGGTTGTGTACGGGTGCAAGTGGTAGAACATGTAGGCCGTGAGGCCAGTCACTGGGAGTATGTTGTATAGATTAAAACCCATATACACCGTAAGATGCAAGTAGCAAATGCCCTTAGTTCTAGACACGTGGTTTCAAGAGCCAGAACAACTGGTTCCTGTCCTCTATCAAAGCTTTCCGCGACCCCATATTCTATTGAAAATTTTCGACATTTTTTGGTTCGTTTGTCCCTCTTCACTTTTGATGTCTCCTGTACTCCATGCTATCACTTCATCCCGCTTTCCAGCAAACAAATGTATTCGACAGGGTAGAATAGCAGAGTTCCGGCCAATTTCAGATCGGGAGTAGCCCCTGAAACATGAAACAATTATTACAAGACAGAGAAAGGAAGGATAATGGGTGCCAAGTGGAGAATATTATCAAGAAAAAAATAAGAAAGTAAATAAAGAAAGAAGAGAACAGGAATCTCTACTCCTCTGGTTCGGGAGAGAAAAGACCTATCCGCAGTCGGTGGGACTGTGGTCAAGTTAGTAAGACATGGGTATGAACATTGGCGGGCCGGGAGGGTACGTACAAATGGAAGCTTCGGAATGACCACTCCCAGAGTAGCTAAGAAGTTGATGGTGAAATACGTCAAGTCGTAATGGGTATAATGCGTGCTGAGAAGGAAAAGACAGATCGGCACGCATAGCAAGAACTTCTTCGTCGGGGTATATTGATCTCCGTTGTCAATTTGCTCCCACATGTTGAGATTATCATAGGCACCCGCATTGAATTCGAAAGGGATGCCCCGCACCCAGTGGAACATAAGAAACGAGCCGAACATGTAGCTGATATTGGTCAGGGTCCATGAGGTCTCCTGCGAGACCCCGGGAATGATGTCGTAGAAGATCTTCAAGGCAACGATTAAAACGAAATGAATGGTCCAGGCACCTGTTACGAGCAGTCTCCGGTTAGCTTCCCCGGTGCCATAGTATGCATGACAGACATGTCGATGCACTCACCCTTGGCATTGACCCAGTTCGCATTTAGATTGGGCAAGGCAGCCTGGTCGCTGGTGCGCTCAATGGATTCCGGCGGCTCCTGATAAATGATACTGCTTGACCGTCTCCTCCGTCCACCCTTGTTCTGGGACATGCTGGAAACCGGACTCAACCGTTGCGGTTGAGTATCCACCCCCGGGGGGAAGGAAATGGTACGGGGAACTGTGAGGGAAGACACTTTGGCGGTATTGAACGGGGTAGGACCGTGGGATCGAGGAAAGATGATGGGAGAGGAGAAGGCGAAGAGAATGATTGATTGGGGAGAGGGTCGGAAAAAAGAGCGGCCAAGACAGTCCCAAATCGGGTGGAATCACAGTCTGTAGCTAATACGTAAGTAAGTTGTTTGCTAGCTAATGCAGAAGTAGCAGAGGATCTGATCCGTCTTTCAGTTCACTTCCGACCGTCAGATTGGATGATCGGCAGCTGTTTGGGTCACGGGATGGTCACCAATCCGAGGGGGGCAAAAATGGATGAATTTGGGGGTATTTTTAGGCAGAACGTACTCCGGAGTAAATTCAGTGTCACAAAAAAAAAATAGTTGATGTGAAAAAAGAGCGTGGCGATTGTGTTTAGGGGTTTCTGTACACAAAGATAGTCTTCCGTTGAAAAGATTCAAAATACAAAACAGAAATAATGGAAATAATGGGAATGTTTTGGGGGAATGTAAAGATATATAAAAAGTCGAATATTCAATGCCAGGACAAAGAGGGGGGCAAAGGAATAAAAGACAACAATAATACCAATACTAAGGTAAGGTACGGAATAAACCCCTACTAAGAATAGTCCGAAACGGTCCAGAAGCAACCGAAGAACAAATGAATAAGTTAATTTCGATTTATCTTTCTTCCCACAAAAATATTAATAGAATGATCGAGACTTTGTTGTAGTTTAACATCTACAGCTTGTGTACGCCAGATTGTTCTAGACAGGCAGCTTTGTATCTCCACCAGTTCAAATGTTCTATACTCTATAATCTTCTTCGATGAACTTTGTTTTCTATTTTAAAATGCATGCACATTCATCTCACCATACCCTGTGGGGTTGATAGACCCTGAAATTGCCTGTAGTATTGGGTATTTTCCAGACAAGTAGTAGGACAGCGATAAACATGCATCATACAGCGCAGTATACTGCCGGGCGGAAGTTCTTCTATCCGATCCTGCATCGATGGTCACTATCAACTACCGTAAATTTTAAGAAACTAACACTCCACCCCAGGTAATTCTTCCTCATTTCACGCGTTTTCCAATAGTCTTTTCTGCGCTTCAGCCCCTGGTCACAGTATGCCTGATTCACCAGGTGAAGACAATAATGATTCCAGAACAGCCTCATTTGGTGTGCAACGCAATCGCGCCACCAGCACCAATGGCTCGCGACAGAGCTCCATAGACAGCAATTCGCACCCCAGGAAAAGACAACGAAGGAATGGAAAGGCGGGGCCTACAGATGCGCGCGATTTTGTCCCTCAAGGTGCCACATTCAGTGCAAATACGTTGGCGGTAGACCCGGATAGTACGTCCAGCTCTGGCTCCTCGGGCAGCGACGATGAATCCAATTCCTCGGATGATGGAAATGAGGCTTCCTCACAGGTTGAGCCCCAATCCGCAGCTGCTCCTAACTGGAATAAGGCCAGTAGAAGCACTATCAGGACTTCCTTGAGCAAACGGGGAAACAAGGAAAATGAGGTTGAACAGGATTCTCGGTTTGATGCGGTCAACGATAAGTACTGGCGCAGTCGCAGCGAATCTGTTTCGACTGGCGGCGACAACGATGATGTGTCACAGATAAACAGTGACGATGTATCAGAGGAGGGAGAAGTACAGGAAGATGATACCTCCGACTCCAGCCGAATGCATCTATCAGGGGACTCCGACGACTCATCTCTGGACTCAGAGGCCGACGACTCGATACTGTTGAATATCAATTCCCGAGGTCAGACACAGCATGCTAGTCAGAAACAAAATGGGGGGCTATCACTGCCAGACGACGAGTACGATCCGGAGTCTCTTCCGGTTCCTCAAAGTATTGCCAACGGACACACCTTTGACGGGGCCAGAGATGCCGCTTCGTCGACGTCGAAGGAGGAGGCATTCCGTCATTTCGCCCAAAAATACCCCACAAACCCCGAGACACTTGCTGATCTTAATCGGGAAGACATGGAATCCCAAGCCAAGTATATCTTCTACGATCGCGAGATCAATGACATCAACCTGCAATTACCAGTCACTTGCACTGAATGCATGCGGGAGGGCCATCTTGCGGAAGTGTGTCCATACAAAGAGGTGCGTTCTGAAACTTACCAACCCGCTTTTCAGGGACTTTTCTGGACTACATTGGAGACAATGAGTGCTGACCACGTATAGTGTGTGCATTGCGGTGCTTGGGATCAACACCAGAGCAGTTTCTGTCCTTCGTGGAGAAGATGCCAGAAGTGTCGAGAGCGTGGTCACGATCAGCAAGATTGCTCTTCGCTCTTGAAAGGTTCCGCATCTGAGATCCCCTGTGATCTGTGTGGATCTTCGGCACATTTGGAACTCGAGTGTGATTTCATGTGGAAAGCTCATCGACAAGAGCCGTCGTCCGGGCCCGTACATGTATCCATATCTTGCTCTCATTGTACCAGCAACCACCATTTGGTCGGTGACTGCCCATCCCTACCACAACCTTTGAAATCTTCGTCTTGGACCCTGAGAGGAATTGATCCGAATATGGTCACCAATATCAATTCCGTGGTCAAAGGTAGAAGCGGAGGGCCTTCCTCTAGAGGTCGAGGTGGGATGAAAATTAGAGGCCGTGCGGATGCGCACTCCTCCCCGGATGACAGCGACGACTTGATAACCAGACGACGTCCCGTCGGCCGTGGTGGAAACCGAGGCAACATTCGAATTGGTAGTGGAATTGGAAAGAATAAGAACCTAGCGCCAGCCGGCTCGCGAGGCCCAGATATGGATTCTCGTCAGTTTTACAGGGATCGTCAGGATTTCCATCCAGGCAACGCACGCCAGCGCTCCTTGTCTCCCAACCCGCGCCGCGGAAGAGGCAAGGATAGCTGGCAACCTGCACCTCGTTCGCCCCCACGAGGCCAGTCCAGACCGCCTCCTCGTGGGGGAAGAGGCGGTGGTCGGGGACGTGGCGGACGTGGCAATGGTAATAAACGAGGGGGTAGCAGCGATGCTTATCGTCCAATGCCGAGTGCCGCTAAAAAGGCTTGGGATAAGTACAGGCTCTGATGTATGAATAACTAATACAACACAGGTGGTTGCTCGTCTGGTTGCATATACTGCGACATTCCACTTACGCTTGGCGCCTATAGCAACTTAATTGGTGTATGATACCCTTGGCTAACATACATATTTACTGTTGATGGCACTTGTGATGCACTTCAATGTTATTTGATGTGTATTTGGAACCTCGTGCCTGAGCCTTTGGTCAGGTCTCTATCTACCGAGGCAACTATGTCCGTACATGATCCACGACGGATACCAGCAGCCATACGGGGCCGTGGCAATAAACAGCAGCATGCCACATGAATTACATGGGCCAAGAGGGTTCAGACTGTTTGTCTAATCCTGAATCTAGGCATACCGATGGCTGCCAGGCATCGGTGACAGGGTATGGTATAAGCCGACCTACTAGTCACTGGTAGGAACCTTGTCACCATCACGGTTTCCGACAAAACCTCCATCTAGGATGTCGATGAGCTCATCTAACCGCTCAATGCACAGATCCGTATGGGGATGCTCCTTGAGATGAACGTTGTGGTCGTTCAGGAGCAAGACAGTCGCAGCGCCTGCTGTGTGGCCAGCAGTCATATCATCGATACTGTCACCAACCTAGCATCATATCAGTTCTCAGAAAAAAAAAGGAAAATCACCTGGAATGCAAAAGAAAAAACCCACCATGATTAGATTCTCTCCTCGACTATCCAGTCCCCATTCATGAGCAATATGCAATATCCCCGCTGGATCGGGCTTAGGCATTAACCCCGGGGTCTCTCTTGTAATGATTGGAAGAAACACGTGAGCAGGAAGATGATTATCTAGAAGATGCCGTACTGGTGTTCTGCCACAATAGTATTAACCTTGACCATCCACTCTACTCCCTACATCTAGTCTTCGGGGGTGGGAGGGGGGGAGGGGGGGGGGAGGAGGAGTGAAGTAAACCGTCTTACTCAAAATTCCGTGTACAAAGCGCCCTCTTGACTCCCCGTTCGTGGAGGTAATCCATGAGCTCTACTAGTCCCGGCTGAGGCTCCTGGGTTTGCATAGCCTCTCGCTCGATGGTCTTGATCTTATCTGCGGCTTCGAGCTGTTGCTCGGGAGTTGGGAGACTGCTAATATGGTGCAAGATGTCGATCTCCTTGTGGAGGATCCCAAGAGACTCTCTGTAGAACATTTAGTGCACATCACGTAAGATGGAAAAACGCATGTCAGATAGTAGCGACATACCGCATCTTGACAAACATATGGTTCTGAGGAAGACTGGGTATACATCAGTTGATCAATAAAACGAGCCACCGAGACAGGGATCAGGGAATGGAAAGTATCAAGTACCATAACGTTCCGTCCACGTCGAAAACGATCCCCTTCAGCGGCGGGGCACTCGATGCCCCCTTTCTCTCCGGGTTAAGAGGAGCGAATCGTCGCTGACGAAGGGGGTAAATCTGAGCCGAGGCCATGATGCGTCCGAGTTGCGGCAGGGACCGCGGGGCGAACATTCGAGCTGGGGGAGGGGGGACGTTGGAGTGGAGGTTCAAGAGGTTGTTTTGATGTGGTGTGGTTCGACGAAATGGCGGAGATAAGATTGATAAGGTTTTGGAGTGCGGAGATTTCGGAAATACTCCAGAATGATCAATACTCTCTCTCGGTTGTTGAATAGCTTGGATTGACTACCTCTGGTTATTCCCTATATTGCAACCTCGAAGGATGTTCGACAGCATAAATAGCCCCATTGTTGTGAGTATAGTAGACAAAGAGTCTTTGCATTCACTGTGTTCCTGGCTGTATCAATATAGTATCCATACTCTACAATGAAGCTGTTGGCTGTTATGCGTTACTGACTCTTTGTTTCAAGTAGGTACTTGGGGTTGCTTCATTTGCTATACAACAAGAACCACAGCCCTGGCTATACTATATTGTTATAGCCCCGATTGTCTATTCCCACAACACGCAATATGAAACCTACACAATTCGCACGTGAAGTCTTTTCAGGTATGAAGTTGATTGTATTTATCTAGCTAAGAGGACCAGCCATCCTTGATACAATTCGATAACATAGGTAGCTATCAGACAAATAATTGCACTAATGTTGCTATCTCTTTGACTATATCTGTCACAGCCTCTGTGTCATAAGCTGCAGTGTGATAACCACTCTTGGCTCCGGATCTCCCCTGGCTTGCAAGAAGACTCGTGTGAACCACGGACAAAGACATGGAGGGCCAGTTCTTAGGGAGAAGCTTTTTCAGCAGTCTTGCCACGTCAATGTTTTGAAAGTTTGAGCATTGATGGTGGCTTTGTTTAGGAACTAATAGCTTCCGGCTTCCTGTGAGCACCCTTTGGAAGCATTGCATATCCTGCTGACTGTACCATGAAAGGATACTAATTCTTTTTGAACTGTAGTTCAGCTTCTGGAGTATTTCATCCCGGATCTCATCTGGCCCCAATCCATTCGTCATGGTGTCACGGTAGCAACGTTCAAACAGAACCTGTATGTGTCTGTCCGCATTTTCCAGATTGTTCACTTTGTCAAGAAATTCAGTAAGAGACAGGTCATAGTTAACATTCTGTGCAAGCAGCAGTTTGCCGTCAAGTTGCCTAATAGCAAACTGGAGTGGTATCGGAGACATTTCTCCACCTACAGTGAGGTACTCGAAGTCAATAACCCAGGTATTCTGAGGACTCTTGTGATAACTGGTTGACAGAGCTTTGACATCGGTCATTGTATCATCCGTAAGGTTAAGATCCCATTGTGGCATTGGAAGTTTAGCACCCGCAGCGTTCAATGATGATACATGTTCAATGATGCTCGAAGTGTGGTGAGAGCAATACCTAGAGTATTGATGCAGTGGTAATGGACATGGTGTTATCGAGCATGTATCCTCTCCATCAACCAATGCATAATTCTTGAAGACAGTATTTAGCATTGATAAGCGCTCTTTCGCGCGCATTTTCTCCAAATGATGCCTATTACTATCCTCAGTGACCTCGTCCGCCTCATCTGCATCTGAGGCATCAGAAATATCCCCCAGTTCAGCAATGGAATCTGTCACATCATAGTCAGCATCAGTCCCTCTGCCAGGCTCCCTTGACTGAAGCATAGTATATGGCGTAGTAGACATACCTTCTTCATCTTGCATCACTGCACTGGTAGTAAAATCTTCCACTTCATCAGAAAGCGGTACCTTCTTACGTGGGCGCTTCAAATCCCTGATTAGCGCCTCTGTCGTATGGTAGAGGTGGTCGTACGGTTGTGGTGCAGGCCGATGTAATGTAAAGTCGCTTAGCCTCAAAAGCTGAAAAGGCTTTCGGGCGGTATCTTTCATAAAAACAACCCGCGAGCCCCACTGGTGAATGCTGTTCACTAGTAGTTCAATATTCATGTATCTTCCTTGAATAGGACTGTAGAACCTATTGCCCCCAGAGTGTGCATGGATTGGAGTCGTATAAAGAGTCCATGTGCTGGCATATCTCCGTGAGCGCCAGCGATTTTTAGCCTGTAAGAAGAGCGGTTCAACATCCATCACGTGAAGCACTGTACTAAGCCTGAACACTTCGAAGAGTCTTTCGATATTCTTGTAGTACTCTTTTACCTTGGATTCTCGTAGAGAAATTCGGGTTCCATGGTCAATTGTCCATCCTTGAAGGTATAGGATGTTTTCCCTAAGTGCATTCATAGTCCGAGAACCCCACAACGACAATACCAAGGGCAATAGTAGCTCGTCATCACCGAAAGAAAAGAGCACAGCCCACTGAGTAGGGGCCCCGGGATATGGACAATCATAGTCCAGCTCAATGCGCACAGGGAGGGCTGAAGCCACCTACCGGATTCATTGTCAGATACAAATCGTGGCTCATGTGAGAATAGTTAGAACTCGTGGTTCTGCACTCACCTTACTACTTGAAGCGGCTATGCTTTGGCGAATCAATTCAACGCAGTGCTTAACTTCCTCATAACAGGGTCTAACTGACACATGGGAGCCCGTGTAACCACCCCTTGGCGCTCGTATATCGACATCCGGAGCAAGTTCATAGAGTTGCTTATTGACATCGACAACTCTAGAGATAGAACTCTTGCTTTCACCTTCCCTGCTCGTGTATGTGCTCTCATCATGGATATTTAGCGAAGGTCGCCCGTTTAACGGTAAGCCAGACACGGTAGGTGGAAGAGGATGGCCTGGGTGGGAGTTGATATTCTGACAACCCAAAAAGGTATATGCATCTTCAAATGTATACAGCTTTCCCAACCTCCCCGTTTCGATGCCAATAAATGGAACAGGGTGTCGGAACGAATGGAGCTAGATGAAATATGGATCAACTTATGTCAATTCAAAAGAGGATGTGGACCAACCCTATGATTAGATGCTGTCAAAATCAACGATTCCCTCAGCTGTCTTGGGGTTAGCCGCAAATAATATATGAATTTTTTTATACGTGGAGGAGCTCTCATAGTCGACTGAACCCTCATCAGCAACTGAACCCTCATCGCCAGATACCCTGTCTCCTGTAGCTTCCTGTGGTGCTGATACTTGCTCTGCCAGAACCCTAGGACGTTTATCGACCCTTTTAGATCCAGGGGGCATGGCGGCTATCTGGACCTCATCGTGAATCCACCGGTTTAATAACGTCTCATCGATTGAAAGCTTTCGAGCTGCTTCTTCAAGGGCAATTGGATGCCAGGTCCTGGGTTTATTGTTTTGCGATGTGACCTTCCGGCAATAGTGAATCGCGGAAAGCTTCTCTTCTCGTGTATAGGTGAACCGTCTTGGCCGACATATCCTATTTGCAGCTCTCTGGTTACCTATTCGTGTGAGCGACTGGTATTTTTCCTCTGTGAGAGGCTCAACTAGTGCAGGGGCACCGTCCTGGTAACCCGGTCGAGCTCGCGAACGCCCCCAGCTCCGACTCGACTTGCATGATGAATCCAACCTACCACCTATGCTGTTCTCGATTGATTGTTGATTCTGTTCAGTAGTATCATTCTTGTTGATATTGGATGCCATGGTTGCCTACCTCGACTGTCTCCAGTTCCTATGAGTGAGTATTCCTTGAATGCAGACTGTAATTATGGGGACAGGACCATCTATCACAGCATCAGAGAGTCAAAAACAAAATGAAGCAATAATGAAATGTGCTGGTGTTGGAGAGAATGAGAGGATGTGTTCGAAGTTTTCTTTGAAAGGTAGAACTAGCCAACTGATTGTCCTTAGTATGTCAAGAGGAAGAAGAGGAGGAAGAGAAGGAAGTGGAAGGAAGAGGAAGGAAGATGAAGGGAAAGAAAGGAAGAAAAAGGGAAGGAAAGGAAGAACAAGAAGATGATGATAATAAAGGTCGATTTTTCTAGCCATCCATATAAATATTGTAAAGTCCTTTGTTTTGAGCTTCTGCTACGTTTTCTTATTCAGTTTTGAGATAGCTGCTTTATTCTTTATATCTATTGCTTCAGAGGTCTAAGAATAGTCTGCATTCGAAGAGGCAGGTACCAAAGGACACAAGGGCAGGTATTTCAACAAAGAGAGCCAATTCACTTCGCAGTGCAAACGGAATTCACTTGGCATCTTCAGCTATGAATCTTGATCTAAATTCACTACAAAGAAACTCATTCATCCCCTTTGAAATGAATTCCGGTACTATGGTGTGTTTTACAAGACATTTCAACTAGATACATGGTAGATAAATGTATTTCATAGGGATTGTGCCTTTTTCAGAATCAAAGATCTCATGAAGGCTTGCTTGCGAGTGTAGTTCTGCCCGAAGCCCAGGCCATATCTCTTGCGATCTTTACTGCGGGAACCATCTTTGTAGTCGTCCGGGATGCTCAATAGACACTCATAATCGTCTACTGCAAGCTCTTCTCCGTCTCGTATGGTCATAATTTTGTCAGTCATGATTTCCCATAGTTTTGCGTTCGTGCCGTTATAGAAAAATCCATTCCGAGGACAGAAATCAGGACGAATTGTGGTTGTCGACCAAATTCGATAAAGTTGATCATCAGAAATGTCACAATACTGCCAAACATTGTCATCGGTAAATAGTAGATTTCCATCAAATATGTGAGAGTTGTCGCCGTGGTTAGTCCGAAGCACTTTACGGGGTGGTATTGCGCGTGTTTGGAGCATTGTCACATCAGCCTCTGGGGGGATGGGGTTATAGTTATACGGAAACTTGTAAGTTTGGTATCTCCTATATTCAGGGTCCTGCCTTGGGTCAATTCCAAAGGCTACGAGAGCATGTTTCCAGGGCCCACTTGTGAAGGAGTAACCACAGTAAGGAAGTACTTCGAATAGACTTAAAAGATCTGGGGCGTGAGTAAGATTCTTCAAGACCCTGGGAGTAACAACTGGCCGGCTGCGCATCAGGAGTCTAATATCACGTAGCAATGTTCGCCTATCTTGTGAGAGATAGAATTCCGATAGCAAGCGATCTTGTGGCTTGTTCGGGATGTGACTTGACCCTATGGGCACTTGCAACTTGAGTTGCGCATTAGAGCAAGACTTGGGGTCTGTGGGAGAGAGGGGTGGCGTACAATTTTCTCTTGATACTCCTGTTGCTGGACTGAGATGAACTGAATTTGGGGAAGTAAATGACCATCTGCCTCATATATTTCCTCGCTCATGCCACCGTCCTCTTCCAACCGGGCTGCCATACTTGCGACTCTAGGATGAACACCCAGAAGATGTCAAATGTGATACTTAATGCTATTCCAAAGATGGAATCTCTTGACAGTGACACTTAGATGCAGTGAGAGATTGACCTAGATATCTTCAGGAGTGGGGAGACAGATACAGGTCAGTCATATGGGTTAGATATCGTGTGTTGGCCCGTGGATGTGAGAACCAGAGATATAAATATTCATTATCGGTGGGGCTTCTCGATGCTTACCTAGGGTATGACCTTGAGAGTGAATGCGGTATCTAAATATATAAAAACAAAACAGTTGCTTATAGGGTACATAACCAAAGAAAAGTAGTTAGTTTACTTTGGTGAATTCTTCAACAATGGATATTTTCGACTGTTCAGGATAATCCATCCATTGTATGCAGGGGAGAAAAATGAAAAAGAAAAGAAAGATGGTAGATATGGATAACCCAGAACCGATACCTTTACCGTACTTACCTGTAGGACTACGTACATCGACGTTAGTTCGCAAGGCTTAGGTGCAGCCAGGCTAGAGTTCTTACAGACATATAATAGACCAAACCCGTCTATCACCAGCTAAACATGCGAATGTAGGATAGATATCAAAAACTGACTGGATTGTAAAGGAACTGATACTCCCAAGAAAGTTTAATTTACTCTTAAGAGTCCTAAATTCTATTTCTAAAGATATTGTTGCACCTCCTATAATAAATATCAGCCTAGAAGCGGGTAGGGTTTTCCCAGGAAAACAGTTATTTTCCATATTGTATCGTGATTTCATTGTGTGCCTAAAACACATTCCCTACAATGCTGGTACGGTTCAACATGGGATTTCTTGCAGAACCCCGGGTGTAAATATCAATAATGCTGCCAGTAGCTCATTGATATACCTACATTTGGTGTCAACGGCTGGGGTACCAATGGACGAATAGCTTTATATCGGGCAGCAATCAATGGGGAATCTCTCGTCGTTAAGCAGCTGCTAGGAGTCCCAAGGGTAGGTGTTAATGCGAGAGACGGTAAGGGAGCGACAGCGTTGTGGTAGGCCGCAGCCGACGGACACATCAAGGTCATCAGACGACTGCTGCAGGATCCCAGGGCCAGGGTAGATACCATCTAGATAAGGGAGGTATTCGGCTGGTTTAATCATTGAAATAGAGCGCTTTATACGGAGTATAACATTATAATCAATATACCAAATCGTGTTGTATTACTATACTACGTATAAATTAAGAGCTTCGCGCTCCGCTATAAAGGAACAAGCTTAGGGGAAAAGGTTCTGCTGGTTTTTAACATGACCCTTGAAGAATTGAAAAAAGCAAAGGCTGACCAGCTATGTTATGTAGTGTGGCAGGAGTTCAAAAAAATGATGACAAGAGTGGGATTCGAACCCACGCGTCTTGCGACATGTGAAACCACTAGTTATCTAGTGCTAAGATAAGATCTTGAGTCACACCTGTTGTTGATTAGTAATGATTATAAATGTGGTGAAACTATGTAACTTACACCTTAACCACTCGGTCATCTTGCCGTATTTGTTTCTTTTTATCTTGTTTTTCATTAATATACGACGGAAGAAAAGACTTGGCAAAGATACCCGCAACTACTCTGTATGTATATAGTATAACCCTACTAATCTAAATTAGGAGGGTTACTTGAAATTTTCTAAACATGGAATACCTGGCCAGCAACTGGTGTTTCAGGAATATTCTATCTATAATTGAGAGAATCTGATTCCTCTTGTTTTTGTGCAGTGGAGTGTAGTGTAGAATGAATTTACCAGGCTTTTTGAACGGCTTTGAGTTCTGCAATTATCGATATATGAATTGTAAAATTTGCAGCGGACCTGGCCGAGAATTGCCCTATCCATACCAAGTGCTTGAGAGTAGGCGATTTCGCTTGGTTGTGTCTGTAAAAATCACTCAGAACTCTACTTCAATCTAGCAGAATCCTCCCACTCCAATTCTACTTTCTGGATCTTGTAGAGGAGTCCCTGAGTGGTATTCCGAAGCTTAATGGCAATGCTGCATGTAGATTCAGTTTTGTCTGGAAAGATAATCAGATTTCTGGGCTTCTCAACTCGTGTTGTATCTTAGTACTAGTAACAGCCTAACTATGGATAGCTAACTAAATAAGTAGCTAAATCCAGCTGACTTAGTCATCAGGTCGGCAAGATGACCGAGTGGTTAAGGTGTAAGTTACCTATTCCTAGGTCACCTCTTTGTACTCATTACTAATTCAAAAAAGGTGTGACTCAAGATATTTATCTTAGCACTAGATAACTAGTGGTTTCACATGTCGCAAGACGCGTGGGTTCGAATCCCACTCTTGTCATCATTTTTTTGAACTGTTGTTGGTGTGTGGGCTTTCTTCAGAATCCAGTGTAGATATCCTAATGTATGTCCAGAGTACATTTTGGTTGTGTTGAGTTGAAAGGTCCTGGAAAAACCATTTGAACCCACCACTACACCAGATAGGGTTAGGCACTTCCGCTAGACCTATCAGTAAACCGAACAAGAAACCTGAAATCAAAGAACCTATACTAGCACAACCTCGTGTACCTTGTTAAAGAACCCCTACATTTATATCTGTTCTTGATTATATACGGAACACTAAAATTGCTTAAAGTAATATACAAACAGCTACCTCATACCACAGATTGCGTGGCGGTGTGGTTTGATGACTGTACAGTATATATGTATAAACAACCGCCTCAGGTAATATATCCGTTGCCTTTTCAATATCATTGCATTGAGCCCACACTAAGATAAGATTATGAAAATGGGGAAAATTCTATAGGAATAAGATTCCTGGCACTACTGGTGGATCAGACATCCAGCTCACTGCGGGCTGTATAGGCCATCTTTGTCAAACTGACTGCCCTATATGATCTAGATCTAGGTTTACCAATCGTATGGCCTTATCTACTAAAACTGCTGATTGTACGGGCCCGTGGAAGGCCCATGGGGTCTAGAAATCGAGAGATATCAGGCGGCAGACAGGTAGGCCGGCAGTCAAGCAGTCAGCCAGGTAGCAATCCTACTATGCTGGAAGATCCTTCCTGAATACGATATATCAGTAGCCTCAAAGACTAGTTTACAGTACTTTAAGTATAAGGTATAATTATTTCCTCTTAGTTTAGTGTGAGGTCCAAATAACACGTTCCCTGTGGTTATTCACAGATGCTTCCTATTCTGGACTAGCTCCCGCAACTAGCCCTAAGTATAGGCCCAAGTGGCTTTTTAGAATGTTCTTGTGATCTCATCTTGGAAAAATCATTCCATCAGCATGGCAAGATGACCGAGTGGTTAAGGTGTAAGTCAAGCATATTCTCACCTCTTTATACTGAGTACTAATAAACAAATGAAGGTATGACTCAAGAGATATTCTTGTCCTAGAATACTAGGATTTCATATGTCGCAAGACGCGTGGGTTCGAATCCCACTCTTGTCAGATCATCTTTTTGACTCTATTACTTCTTCAAATCATTTTTTTGCTTACTTGTTCCGGCGGCGGCAGGCTGCTAGATCTATATAAGGTGCGATCCAGGCGACATCAGACATATAGTTCGAGTATGGTGGCTTTTTGGCCGAGCTAGGAACGGAATAGAAGCTGGCTATCCTGCCTTCCGGAAACCACATGGGCAGCCTAGAGAAACTGTAGGATTCCGGGCTCAGCACTCGATAATATTATCCTGTATTGATGGCAATCTATCAGTCCTAATAACTATTTCCCCACTTTCAACATTATTTCATCATACGAGCAATCCAATCATCCCTCGCCTTAGCACCAGCTTTCGAAAGAGCAGCTTCAGGAACCGATCCATGAAAGGCACCAGGTCAAACATGCAATTCAACCAGGCCCCCGAAGCCAGAAGACTGGATGCATATGCAATGCTCTCATCCCGAAACACCTCGGCCGAGCCAACATCAATGTTTTTGTCGTAGAAATGGGGACTTAGAGAACGAATCAAGAGAAGAAGAGGCAAGGAAGGGTAGAGTCGAGGTAAATGGATTTGTTTACCAAGTGATTCACGAACTATATACTAGCATAGCGGGAGATGACGGTCTATTTAGGGCTAAGTTTGGCCAGCGAAACATTGAACGTATGCGGGTCCCAAGATTCAATGTGAAGTAAAGTAGACATGAAAAAAGTAAAGAATGCATTCTCGCTCTATTCTATCCTTAGTCTTGATATCCACTCGGACATTCGACTCCTCCTGACCCACTCTAGCCTTCCTGATGGTCTGTCTGTCTATAACTATACAGCCCCAACGCCAAGACTCACTTAGCTGCGCATAGTTAGGTTCAAAAAGACCCCTCGATCTGTCTCATATAATAGGAACATGAGTACCTCCGTCTTACACTAGAATCCAACAAGTGACCTACACTTCCGCACACCCCATCAATCGGATTCAATCCTCACTCCAAAAATGGCGCACACCTTCTACGACGGAACCATCCCGGTAGTCCAATCCATCCTCACCACCCTATCCCACATCCTGCAGCAAGCCTCGCAACAGCCCAATGCCACCGCCCTCCTCTCCGCCCGTCTCCACGAGGACATGTACCCACTCACCGACCAAGTGCGCATCACGACCCAGTTCGCCGCGAACCTGGTCGCCAGACTGACCGGCCAGTCGCCGGTATCGTTCGACGGCAGTCCCGCGACATATGCCGAGTGCCACGGGCGCATTGAGACGGTGCTGAAGGCGCTCCAGCAGGCCGACAAGGACGTCGTCAACCGACACGCCGACGTCGTGGCGTCCACCCCCATGGGCCCCGAGAAGGCGGTCGACATGTCCGCTGCGGTGTATGCTCATACCGTTGCCTTGCCCAATATCTATTTCCATCTTACGACTGCGTATGCCATCCTGAGGAAGGAGGGCGTGCCGCTGGGGAAGCGGGATTATTACGTGGGGTTTTTCCCGGGGATTAGAGGGTGAGACTTTGGGTTTATTTTCTGGATATAGATGGCTATAGCTGTGGGGTTGTTGGTGGTGGACTTCCTTATATTGGAGATTGGATGGAGTGGCTTAGTGTTATGTGTGGATGTTATTTTCTGGGGGTCTGAGTTAGATATAGATGGACAATTATTCCACTATACTAGGGTTTTTGGTGATATAGTAAATTGGAGATTACTTAGCCTGGTAGCTGAGTACTCTCTCCTCCAAGGACGCTACGTGTCAGCGGTGACACTCTCCTGGACTTATACTAGTATAAGCACTTTATTACCCACGAAAGACATCGACAATAGATTATCTCAATAGGTAGACCTACATGTCATGCCGAGGTCTAGAAGTAGTTATTGTTAGTACTTTGTTCCACACATTGTACTCCATATATCTAGAGGGACGTGAGAATAAGTTCGTTCTGACTATATTCAATTCCCGACTAACCGTGCCCTAAACAAGCAGAGCTGAGAGCGGTTTATACTATGTACATATCACTTTGAACGTGATTGCCTTTGAAAAACACGAGGTTAAAGTGAAAGACAAAATTAGATTTAATAGGGTATAAGTACCAAGTCCCAGAGACACAAGCTTGCAATGTAATCCTACCCTACCTACCCTACTTTCACATTAATCCCACCAACCTACTACAACACCAATAAACCTCACCAAACAAGAACAAAACAGCATAACCTGCATTAGTAACAAGATAAAGTCCCAACTACTAGTCAGTAACTACTAAGCAGTAGGAGCAGCAAAATGACGTAGGCCCCGTATATCCCATCCATGGTACATGTGACGCCTCCCCCGCACTGCCAATGGAAGTACACCCACGTATTTAACCCCCTCACCAAGACTGAAAGTAACTAGTACCTCCCCAACAGTTACTATTCCATTCCCCAAAATGGCCGACTCTCTAGATCTAACCATCTGCTCAACCTGTGGAACGCAGTATCCTACAACATGCGAATCGTCGTGTAAGATCTGCGACGATCCGAGGCAGTTCATTCCTGCGACTGGGTAAATCTACATCCCCTCTCCATCTTCAATTATAACCCAGGTATATCTTAAGAGAAGAAGGAAGGTACCGGTTGTACCGATACATACATCATTGTATAGGTATATATATATATATACAAGGAAAAATAATACTGACTATAATATATTCCCCCCCCCAAAGACAATCCTGGACAACACTCCGCGCTCTCCAAAGCTCCAAAACATATCATAATGAATTCATCCCTGATTCAGTGCACAAGGATTTAATCTCCATTCACACCGTCCCGAGAGTGGCCATCGGTCAGCGCGCTCTACTATGTCGCACGCCTACTGGGAATCTCCTCTGGGATTGCATCACCTATATCGATGACGAGACCGTTGCCAAGATCAACGAGCTGGGCGGGTTGAAAGGTATAGTTATCTCGCATCCGCATTTCTACACGACGCACCTCCACTGGGCGGAGGTCTTTGACTGTCCTGTTTACTTGGCTCGGGAGGATCGAGAGTGGGTGGTGCGCACGGGCGAGAGGCAGGTTCTTTGGGATTCGTCACGGTTGCCGGTTTCGGGGATGGATGCGGATTTGGTGGCTGTGAAGACCGGGGGGCATTTTCCTGGGAGTTCGGTGCTTTGGTGGAGGTCCTTGAGGGTGTTGTTGGTTGCGGATTCGATCGGGGTGGTGCCGAGTGGGATTTATCATGTTGGGAGGTTGCCGGGGACGGTGTCGTTTACTTTTATGTGGTCGTATCCCAATATGGTCTGTCCTTTCTTACTTTTCTTATCTCTTTTGTTTTATGTTGGCTGACCGACACAGATACCTCTACCGCCGGATGATGTGCATCACATCTGGAAGGCCGTCAAGGATGTGGATTTTGACGATATCCGTGGCGGCTTCATGGGAACGGATGTAACTGGCAATTGTAGACAGCGTGTGCTAGAGAGTGCTAAGATCTTTGTCAAGTCCATGGGACATTTCGACCATGCAATTCATGAGGAACAATGTCTTTAACACGAGCCCTATGTATATGGAAAACAAGTACAGCCTGGTAGAATGAACAGACGACCCGTCTCCAACGATCCAGTCCATGGGTTAACAATAAAGACCGTTCAGCCAAAGCACCAACTCAGATACACAAAGCATCGCTAAGAATAATCCACTATGACAGGTCCGAAAACGGCCGCACAGAAGTCGCACTCCGACCTCTTGTACAGAGGGGTGTCATGGACAAAGTATTACCATACGACCCTTCACTGATAGAAAATCTTCCCGGATAACTCTCCGTCGACCGAGAAGGTCTTGATACCACCTCCATTTTCAGGGTCCCATGCGAGTCGTTCGCCAGGGCCGACCCAACAGACCACAGCCGACTGACAGGACTCAAGCGCGGTCTCTCAGCCCGGAACGTAGCATACTCTGGGTTCAAAGTAGACACGCTGTCCTGATTCACAGTATGAGTGACACACAAGAGACTTTGTTCTTCTTCGTTGGCGCAGAGTAGCCGGCTGCTTTGGCTTGCTGATCCTGGGAGTTGAGGGCTGGGAGGAAACGGTTTCACGCCGCGGCTTGACCCACGCTGCCACAGACGGAATCCAGTGGGTATACCGGGTGAGGTATGAATAAGAGGGCTCTGCACGTCAGACGATGTCCGGCTCTCATCGGCAGGGCCGTCGACTGCTGGCAAATGTGCTATCTCGATTGTATCTCGAATGGTGGGCGAGCGGAAGACACCCTCGGGCATGATGGATAAGAAAATATCAATGATCAGTTGCTCTCGGCGAACGATAGCTCGAGTGACTGGGCTTTTCAGTGGTCGTCTTCGGCTCTTGTCCAGGCGAAATAGGAATGCGATAGCGTGGAGAAGCTTCAGGGTTATGAGGGCTCCCAGAAGAGAGAGGACTTCACCGGTACTGATGATGATGGGGTTGTTGGAGGGAAGAGCAGACTCTTCGTCGGTGTGGGTTGCCATGAGAGCTGATGGCGTAGCCTTTGCTGGAAATGAGTGTATATATCAGAAAGGATGTCAGATAGGCTGATAGTTCTTGTCAAGAGAACAAAAGGTGGGCTTGAGATATGAGAGCGTTCGTGAGTATGAGGAATTGCCCGTTCACGGAATAAGGAAAGAGCAACGGGGGACAACACAGACACTTCCCTACTGCTTACAGCCTCTACGGTTTTGTAGTAGAATAGCATTCACTTTCTGGAAGCTAAGTATTAAGTCTGTTAATGAAATGACCGTAACTTCTATAATCGAATCACCAGGTGCGGCAGGAGAGACGTGAAGGTCTGGTCCTGGTCCTGCATACATAGAGACGTGGTCCATTCCTACTGCCGAAGACAAACAGATATATAAAATCCTCAACACCAGCGCGGTAAAATCTCCGAAGCGACCAGCATCCAATCCTCCCCCCGGCCCTTCATTAGCCAAAGCGCCACCCGGCGTCCACTGCAGAAAAGGATCCTGTTCCTGAGACGGCGTAGTAACACTAAACCCCCCTTCCCTAAAATCACAGAAGAAGAACTTCAAAGGATCTATCACGTTACCGCCTAAGGGGCATATCAAACGGTGTCGGTTGTCTGAGGAAAGGGACACAGACCGGTGTGTGTTACCCCTTTCCATCAACGTGAGCTGTAAAATGTCTCTGCCGACTAGGACCAGAGATTCAACGCGCCTAGGGCACAATTGGAGGCAGAATTTCGAACGGTACCTTGTTGAAACCTTCACTTCAACTTTATCGGGACGCACAAACCACCAATCTGGTGCATTTCGGTTGCGGATGTAGTAGCATCGATTGTTGACGTGGTCAGAAGCATTGTCGCCTGGAGGATTGGTCGGGTTGATAGTTATCTGGTTGGTAAGGGGGCCGATGAAGAGTTTCCCTCTCAGCCAATTTTGAGCTTGCTCTGGGATGTCCCGGTTCGTGCCCTGGTGGATTTCGGTGATGAGATTGGTCAATAACATGGCGGTATTCTCGTGGGTTGACTGGATAGACCAGAACGTGGGGGTGTAGATTGTTTGAAGTGGAGTAAATCCCAACGCCGTTATGGCAGTGTGCTCTTGCAGTTGTCGGAAGAAATAGTCGGCAGTCTCCCGGCTAAGGGTGGTGAGGACATATAGGCTGCTACTGAGAGCACCTCTCACTACTATCTGGACATAGTATGGCATCTTGAGTCTCCCAGGCGTGGGATGATAGAGCAATGACAAGTAACTAGTGATGGATAGTGATGGATAGTGAGAAATATCTGGTAACGACTGTGTTAACGAAATAGATAGTGAGTATAAGGCGGGCATGGTACAATGCATTGAATGAACGAGAGAAGAGACTCGACTTATAAGAAGTTCTCCGTCATCTCCACAGCCGTTCCTTCCTTCTGATATGTCCTCGCCGGAAGGAACTAGGAAGGAGACTGGGAAGGAAGCCGAGAAAGACGCCTGTATTAGTATGAGATGGACGGGCGTCGTTTCTCTAGAATGTATAGATTGGTTCATGCGATGGTCAATCCAGAATACGCCAACATATGTTCACAAGTAAAGCAAGATAGGTAATACTGGTCTGTGCCGCCATGGCGGGTGCTCACACCGTCGATTATGAATGTGCATATTGTGATCCTGAACTCTAGACTGTATCAACACGAACACGATCGAGTGCTTTTGATTCGAATTATGCATGGCAAGAAGAATCATCACCAATAGCCAACAAGATATGTGGAAGAGAAGGGAATCGCTATTGGACATCGCAGGTACATGGTATTGTAAGAAAGAAAACCAAAATTTACAGCCTCATCCACCCTTTGCCCGATAATAAACATGTTGTAAAATCAAGTCATCGTGCGTATGCAAGGACGCTAGGCATAACATACGTAGAATCATAAGAAATAGAAGTTGGTGAATAGCAGAAGTCGTTATGTCGTAAGGAAGTATTGGCATCCACTTGTCAAGCGAGACTAGTAGAGAGATTCCTCGTCGACCTGATCGGGGCTTGCTCGATATTGACTTCGCTTCCTTCGGCCAGGACTGCTATATTGACTGCCCGAATTCAGCGGACGAGGCCCGGTCGGTTTACGGGGAGGTGGTGTGCTGCGCGGAGACGAGCGTAATGCAGAGTTCTAATCATTCAGTCAGCTTCTCTTCAATGCTGCACACCCTCGACGAAAGTAGACTTACCCGTGAAGCAACGCGATCCACGTACGATCGCTCATCGTCCTCCTTGACCTTTGGCGGCCGCTCAGGGACCAATGGACCGTCATCCTTGATCTTTGGGGGCCTTGGTGGACCAGTCTGTCGAGAGCTGGCCTCCGAGTAGCCTGCATCCGAAATCGGGGAGAGCCGACTGGCGCCGCTGCTGTGTCGCGGATTGGGGTTTGCAGCTGACAAGCTCGGGTTCGAATTCCACTGGTCCGAGGGGGCGCCAGATGGCATCCCGTAAATCTGAGCTTGTGTTTCCAGCTGTGACTGGTATCGGCCAGTAGGCCCCTGACGAGGCTGAGGATGTTGAAGATCCAGACTATCTCGGTGAGCTCTGTATTTCGGAGCTTCCGAAACTTGGGAAGGAACCAAAGGCGATGGCGGGCGGTTCTCCTGCTGTCGGTCATCTAGGGTGTAGGTCGACCGCAGTCTGTCGTCGCCTTGGGGATCGTACCAGTCAGCGGCCTTGTACGGTCCCTGGATATCGGACCCTGAGCGCGAAGCATCGAAAGACGGGCGCTCCTTGCGGGCTGGCTGGATGCTATTGCGGATATTGTCTCCCATGGAAGATGCTGTGGTTTTGGACCAACGGGAAATCTTGGGGAAGAACGAGGAGCTGCTTGACTTGTGCTTCTTGGCTTTCTCATTCGTCTTCGGGGACGTTTCATTACTGAGAGCGCCAGAGGCCATGGGTGCCCGAGGTGGCGTGGAGGCCGAGGAGGGTCCAGCCCTGTCCTGTCGGCCGTTTGTGCTGTCGAACGATGCCGAATTCGGGCCCAAGAATTCTCCACGCTCATTGATTTCCATCTCCTCATCGGCTTCTGGAACAGTGCTGACACGATGCTCAGAATCTCTCCGCGGTCCATTACCACGTGATTCCGGCATTGGCCGAGAAGAAGTGGATAGCAAGTATCCGGAATGGTCGGGAGAAGAAGTTCCAGCATGTCCTTCGGGCTCGTAGCCTTCTGGATCTACACTAGCAGAGCGAGGCCCGCTGCGGCCCAGCCTCTCGTCTTGACCATCGCGGAGTGCTTCAACCTCATCGAGCAGCTGCTCCAGCATGTCCTCAATCCTGGACAGGTCGTTGGAAGACTTGAGACTGAGTCCTTTAAGTGCACGCTTGAAAACGTTCTTACGCTTGGAGCGTAGGTCTTCTTCGTCTGCAGAAGCCTGGCGGGCACTTCTGGTGCTGGCCGGCAATGGGCGAGGGCCTCCGAGAGCTCTGTACGTTCGGTCGTGCTGCTTGTCACTTGCCTCCATGAGCATCCCGTCCTGCTGAGCAATGAACTTCTTCATTTCCTCGAAAGAGTTACGCATCTCAGCTGCGCTTCTAACAAGGGTAACCAAAATCTCCGTATCGCGAGCATTTCGCTGGGCGTCGCGCACGGTGAGCTGTGTACAAGTCAGCATCAGTTCGCACAATTTACATTCTGTATCGGAATACTTACGTGGTCCATAAGTGCGACAATATCTTTGGACTGAATACAGTCAATGCCCCTCCCAGTTGCACTATCGTACAGAGGCGAGCCGACACCCTGGGAGTAGCCACTGAGTTGCCGTTGGTGACCAGGCATGAACTGATCATCAGCTCCAGTAGGACTGTCAAAGAGACCCATACCGTTGGTGTCCATACCGCCAAACCCCTTGTCCAAAGGCTCCGGGGTATCGACACCCGGCGAGAGAGGGTTTGGGGCGGACACATAGCCTTCATCTTTACCTGGCGGCGTGCCGAACAACGGCCCTCTTGAGTACTGATGATCAAGGTAGTCATCGGGATTGTAGTCGTTTGTTTCATAGTAGTCATGGCCGTAATCGGGTTGGTCATCCAACTCCAGGCCTTTATTGCCAGCGGAACCAGCATTGTCGAACATAGGCGACTGGCCACGGTTATCCGGCGTCTGCTCATATGCCCAGTTACTTCCATGCATGCCTCCTCCGATTGGCCCTTGGATGATAGATGGATTCGTATTGATCTCCGATTCAGAATCTGGGCTTCGGTCGACGTCTGGACTGGGGCTCTCACGGTCATGGATGTCTTCCGAAAACATGTGTGTCGGGTCGGTTTGGTCTTCCAATGACTGTGTAACGCTCTGGGGAGGCGACGTGGCTCCCATTCGTCGGGGGAAAGAGGTCGCGTCTGGACTGGAGGCGTCTTGACGTTGTTTCAAAGGGCTTCCTTGGCGGGATCCGTGAGGAGTCTGGTTTGCCCTTTCCCCTAGCTTAGGAGTTTGACCTTCCAAACGCCGAGAGAGGTCAGTCTGCGAGCGATTTGTTGCAGACTGATTGGACTTCGTGTCCATAATTGACGGATCAAGAAGAGAGGCCACGGCGGATTCGACTGCTATGGGATGGATAACCTGAGGGTTGGCACCGATGCCTGCAACGGGCTGACCTTGGTTTACTTTTTCCATGTAGCTCACCTCACTCTCGTCCGCAAAGCCGGTCATCCTTTTGGGGTCAGTACTTGCGGTCTCCGTCATCGATCGTGGTGACATGGCGGGGGATTCTTCATACCCAAGTTCAGCCCCATACTTGTTGTTATTTCGTAGGATCTCTTTTTGGCCGGCAGGGTTGATACCGTGAGGTCGTGAAGACCTTGCGAGGTTGGTACTTGGGGCAGATGAAAGCGAATCTATGGAGAGGCGTTGCTCCATCTCTTTCTCAGTTCCAGAGAATTCATGCTCAATTGGTTGGGTTGAATCCTGTTTAATGTGGGACTCGCTCTGGTTGCTAGCCACGCTCTGGATGGGGCTGAGGGTGCGCCGACGGTCAGTGAATTTAGAGCCGTGACGCCCGTAATGTTCATCTAGGAGGTTGGCCGCTGCGGCAGCTGCAATAGCTCCAGCGGCAGCGTCACCTACAGGTGAAAGGCTCCGTTCGCGATCTTCTTCTTCGGGATAATCGTGGAGCGACAGGTCGTGGCTAGAGAAGTTGCTATGCTTGAGGTCATATCGTGAATCTAGCAATTCTCGATGCGGACTATGGGCCTCGTGGATTTCGGAGGTCTCACGGGAACCATAGGGCTCTGCGGTCTGTTCGGAAAGAAGCGAGTCTCGGGTCATGTCGGACTCAACCGCGCTGCGCAGCGGCATGGGTGCCACGTTGTGTTTCTGGAAGACCAATTCGGTATCGTTGAAACTGCCACTCCTCGGGCCACTCGGCCTTCGTCGTTCAGTTTTGTCGATGCTGGAACGAGAATCATGGTGCTTAAGCGCGGCTGCCGTCAGAGCTGACCCAACTCTGGCGGCCTTTTCGGCATCCCGCAACCCCTTGCTCTTTTGCCGACGTAGCTTCTCCTGTTCTGTCAGTTCTGGCCGAAGGCCCCATTTGACGTAGCTTGCTTCGGACGGTGAGTCGCTGCCCTTGCTGGGCCTGCGCTCTTGTTGCGTGGGAGCTGGCTCGCCGGAAAGGACTATGCCCTCGTCCTGGTCATCCTTATTCAGGACGACGGTAGGCCATGTCACATCAGGAGCGCTGGCATGCTTCGAGAGGCGTCTTCTGAGTTCATCTCGCGATGGGGTGCTCGCGGACGAGTGTGATGCATTCATGTCACGTTCAAATTTGGACGTATTGGTCATCACCTTTTGGTCCTTCTTGAGCTCTTTTAGCTCGGGCAATATCAACCGACGGATGGCATCTTCAACGGTCTCGAGAAGCTTTGGGTTGTTGATTGAGGACTTGGAGGTGCCAGACCGGAAGGAATACTGATCGCCAGACTTACGATGGGCGGACAGCGCCGACGTGCTGAGCAAACTCGGATTCGGACTCATGTCTTCGTCCGGATACGCCGACAAGCGAGATCGGGACTTGGACTCTGGTTCGTGGAAGTCGACAAGGTCTCCCTTATTCCGTTGGCCTTTGGAAGTCTCACGAGGATCGTTACTCAGTTTCTCTGCGACTCGATGAGCGATGCGTTCCGTACTCAGACTGCGGCTTCTTTGTCGCCTAGGTGTTTGGAGGTAGTCTTTGTATTCCGGACTGTGCTCGCGTTCCCGCGATGAACTTTGGCTGCGTTTTCGTCGTATACCAGAAGAGGAGGCTTCTAGCATGCTATCTGCGGGCATCGACGAGATGTCCGAGGTTGGTTGGAAGTACCTTGCGTCGCTAGACAGCTCACTGCTCTGGTCGCGATTCACAAGCTCGATTTCCACGGGTGTATGACCAGAAGGCTGCTGGTTCTCATCGGTACCTGAGTTGAAAGAGCAGATACTATAATCATCACTTGACTTGTTGTTGTTCTTGGATGGCGAGCTAAAAGAGATCCGGCGCGAGTAGATGGGCTTGCGGTTCCCGTTCGATTCAGTAATCTGGATGTGATCCTTTGAATCCTTGCGCTTCCGGGAGTTTGAAGGAGTGACTCGAACTCGGACACTGGGTCGGGAGACCAAGGAGCCAGAACCCTTCCCGCCCTCGAAATATTCGATGAGCAGGGAGGTCTGGGAGTGCTGCGCTGACCGGGACAGCTTGGATTCGTCCCCGTGGGTACGGTTTTTGCGCCGAGTGGAGATAGTTACGGGACTGCCGTCGTCCGGTATGGAGTATGACGATTTGTCTGTGCGTCGAGATACGTCAGTTGCCAAATCAGTCCCTGTTACGCTACCTCCAGTGGTGGTAGTGTCGACAATAGATTCAGTGGGTGCAGGTAAGATCGGTCTGCGGGTGTCGATACCCATGGTGGAGGAATAAGGAGACTCTCCTTTCAACCAGACCCGACCATTACCCCTGGCAAGTTAATTTCGTCCACTATTTTTTTCTTTTTCTATTTTGCTTTTGCTTTTTTGATTTCCTTTTCGGGGAGTGGGACCTTGTTTTCTTCAGGGGGGCAGGAAGCGTGCAAGGGAATAGAGGCTGGTAGAGTGACAAGCAATCTGGGAGGGAATCCACGCTGCTTGCGGACTGAAGGTCACTACAGATTGGACAGGCAGTGGTGGTGATGGTGTTGGTGTTGGGCAAGAGTGGGGGGGGAAGGTATGA